GTTTTTTTATACATAGCTTTATATTCCAGTCCACTAACCCAGTCTATTCTCTGTAACTGGCCCACTCAGGAAAATAATCGCCCATCCCTGCTCTAACTCGTCATCAGCTCGCGAATGAGACTTAGCTCAGTGATTGACTTGCCCTTTGACCCGCGATTCGGGTTTTAGGAACCTCTACCCAATACTTTTATGTCGTATACGGAAGTCTGAGTTTTATTACTTTTTTACTTGACATATTTTACAGGCAAAGCGGGTCTCAATCCACGTCACGATGTGCCAGTTCTGACGTCAGAAGAGACAGACGTCATCGTCCGTACACACAATGTTCTTAGGAAGCATGTCGTACCACCTGCATCGAATATGAGACGAATGCACTGGAACTCTCGACTTGCCCATACGACGCGATTGTACGCATCGAAATGTATTTATGAACATAGTCCTTCTGCGAAAATTGGAAATAAAGAATTCGGAACTCAACTTGGGGAAAACATCTATATCATTTCTAGAGGTATTTTAAATTTCACTCGTTCCTTTATAAGACGTTTTTCCATGCCATTCGCTCTGAACTAGGCCGGGCACAAAAATCCGCTGATATGCGAGAACAACAGAGTGTTCATAAAGTCCCTTTACAATTTCAATTATGACGTCAGTTTTCAATATATTTTAACCAGGTTTGTTGATTTTTAATCGGTAATTGTGTAGGTATTTTTACTTCACTCAATACATCTGTGAGGGCCAAAACAATATATGGTATCGATAAATTCCATCGCAATATTGAAAAATTATAAGACTTTATGGACATCCTATATTGCTATTTTATATACTATATTTCGAAGGATTAGAATCTTTCCGGCATTTCTTAGTCAATTTATTAAATTCTGGGCGGAGGGGTTCAGAAATAATTGATCTAGTTTCTTATCGATCTTGATCGGTAAGTATGTTGATAGGTATTTGTCTGTATGTCTGTTTGTCTGGTATGTCTGTGTGTTAGATGCACGCGATATCTAACGAAAGCGAGGTTCAATCTGCTTCAAATTTTGCATGTGCATTCATTTTAGCTCGGATCAGAAGCCTATTGATTTTGAATGAATTATGTCGTATAATTAGCGAGTTATTAATTAATTAGTGATGGGACACATGGTGTCACTATGGAGTAAGAACACTGTTTTTGGGGATCCCCTAACCTTCGATGAATAAATCTTCGGTTTGCAACCGAATTCTAGTTTCATAGTTGTTCGTTCTCACGGTGCTTCTGAAGTATGTAAACCAGGATGCCGGACACCGGAACGTAGTATGTGTGGGGCTCCCGAAGTATGCGAACCAAGATGGCGAGCATCGGAATGTAATATGTGTACTAGTTTAGGGTTAGGCCATAATTTTAGGTATAAATACTACGGGAGGCTCTTGGCTAGTCTTCGAACTGATAATAGGACTAAAATAAGGAAAATTGGAAACAAATTATCGCCTAACCCTAACCTGTTACCCATGTTACGTTCCGATGTCCGCCATGTTGGTTCGCATACTTCGGGAGCACCGTATGTGTACTATGTTAAGGTTAGGCCATGATTTCAGGTACAAATACTACGGGAGTCACTTGGCACTTTCGGTGTCCGCCATCTTGGTTCACAATCTTCGGGAGCATCTTTGGTAAATATTCGTTCTCCCTTTGTGCGGAGTGGAAGTGTGAAAACGACTAATAATAAATCTGAGCAAATTAGTTTGAGTAATAAAAAGGAGTTTTCGCTTTTGTTTTTCAGGGATATTTGTAGAGCTGATTATGTATAGGTTATATGCTTAATTAGGTTGATTGTGTAACATTACAAATTACTGATTCAATCAGAAGAAATTCCCGGTCTCCTCGCCGTCGTAGGATGATCACGTCACCGCTGGCCCGTTACGGCTTCCTCCACCACAAGTCCATGCATCTGAAAACATAGACTGGTAACCAGACGAGAGGCCGTGGTTCGCCATATGATTGAGCCGTCTTATCGGCTTTTCTCGGGATAAATACGTTAATCCTATCTTATTCTAATCATTGAAATTTCTACACTTAATGACACAGGCGAAGTGAATCTAACCCACGCCATAAGACTATGGTACGACGAGGTCAAGGATTACGACTACACTACAAGGAATTGCAGGACCATGTGTGGCCATTACACACAAGTCGTCTGGGCAAATACGGACCAAGTTGGGTGCGCGTATGTTAACTGCCATGGACAAGTGCAGGTCAGTAGATAGGACTCATTTCGTGAGTAACAGACCGTTTTGAAAAGAGTGACCCAAGAGATACACCCAGGTTATTTGGAGCGTATTCCAGAGAGAACATAACTTTTGTGCGAATCGTTCTAGATTACTTAAACTTCTTTTGGTTGCTAAACTTGAGAAAATTTTTAAAAAAGTGTCTGATTAAGCTTGGCCATTTGCTTTTCTTCGACGTAACCCCATCGCCCAGGGAGTAATATATTGGACACGCAACGCCGCATCGAAGGAATACCGGATGAGTGTCGATGTTGGGTTCATTCACCCATGTTAGAGAATTAGGATTTTAGGATTACATATACGTTCCGGTGTCCGCCATCTTGGTTCACATACTTCGGGAGCACCCGGAAATTTCCAGCACTAAAGTCCATGCATCTGAAACAAATAACTGGTTAACTAATCCCGTACCCAACATGGACTTGTGACCGGGAGATTCTGTGATTTGGTTTGCTGTAGAACTTAGCCACGCTGTCGGCTTTCTCCCGCCTTCCGTATTAATACAAATCCTATCCTTCCTCATTTTATACCTAAATACTTTTACTTCCAGGCCAACGACTCAACCCGAATCCATTTTTCGAGACCATAACTGACGACAGAACAGTCATATTTGACGTCACATTTACGAATGATGACAACATAGACGTGTTCCGCATGTATCCACCAGCAGCGAATGCAAGAAAGTTACACTGGAGTGAGAAAATAGCACATGATGCGGATGAATACGATCTGTATTTTTAAATCTGTTTATCGTAGCCAACTAACCAAGTTAGATTATTGAGTACCTTATTAGTTATTATCCAAACCTAACCAAAGTCCAGAAAAGCTGGGGTAATAGGATAGCACGAAGTCACGTGGTTTATACCTACCTCATTCTGAAGAATATTTGTATATATGCCCCCTTTGAAATGTAATAAAAATCATTAAACTAACAGTACTACCGACGTAAACGTGATTGAAAAACTTTATTGGAAATCTCTCAAATCAAGAAACCCTTCTACGTGATACCTACAAATTCCCACGTTGAAAGCCAGATGTATCTCTCTTTTTGCCTCCACAAAAAGGTCGCGATTTTCGGCAAATATAGTAAAAATTAATTGTTTTTCCAAAATATTGGTTGGATAATCCGATCAGTATAATTTGAATCAATTATTTCTAACCGTAAATGTATTATCATGGTCAAAAAATGTACTTTTGACGGAAATTCGACTTCAAATCTTCTTTATATATTGCATGAACGACATCTCATATTATTGCGTAACAAAGATCATAATGACGAAATAAACGATGATTTTAATCTCTCGTTTTCTCTCTCTCTCTCTCGGGCATACGTTTATTGGCAGTTAAGCGGTGGGAAAATGTTTATGACCGTGTTGCAATCGGCAAATACGCCAGGTTGCGCACGTCAGTCTAGTTTTACTACGCAAATAAGAGCGTGGGGATTTGACGTATTTGGATAAGGTGAAAACCCATAATGGCCAACTTTGGGAAATAGTGACGAACACATGCATGAAACGTAAGGCGTCTTTCAATTTTATTGCTGTTTAATCAGAAGCCCAGTGCACGCCATCTTCAACCAAGACGGGTGTTTGGTACTTACCGTTTCAGAAAACTCTGCAGTCTACTAGAAATATTGTACATGCCTTCAACATACATTTGGTGGAATATAGTATAAACATTCCCCCATCATGTACTGGCCATTAGGAACAACGAAACTTATTGAGTAAGAAAAGCACGCATTTATAAAGAAAATACGCAATGCTAGGTCACTCAGAAGATTCATTTCTAGGAAAAGTTATACGCACTCACTTAGAAGTAAAGGAGACATTTTCAAAAGGATAAAAAATATTTTGCATATTATGAAGAAAAAGGAAATATTTTAAGCATACCCAATACAAATAAACTCACCCTGTATTCTGCGCTCTTTTCCGTTGTTTTCAACTCGCTTCATTGTTTCCAGCTCCCAACCTTTGCCGTTTCAAAATCCTTTACACTCAAACCAAACAACCCCACACGGCACATACAATCATAATCAATTCATCCGAACGTTACCAACAAACAAACACGCGTCCCCACAATTGGGAAATACAGAACGAAGTGTAGCAAGGACAAGAGAGCAAAGCTCAAATATGTAAGCGCTACATTATCACATTTGTTGTGGAGAAAAATACTGTAGCTACAGAGTAAAAGTGCCACAGAGCAAGTTGTAAAACTTGACAACATGGAAGGTTACACAAAACTACTAGAAAATACAATCCCTCCCCCCTCGAAACGAAAACCTGGGGAACATACTGTGTAATTGTGTTTCCACTTATATTTTATGATACGAAATGAGAATGTCCATGTAGAACTTCTTTGTCTCGTGATTTGAACGTCATATATGGTTTTGGCAACTTTCTATAATTTCCGTCCCGCGCGTTCGTAATTGTGCTTTTGGTACTCCCGTAGTATGTGAACCAAAATAGCGAACACCGGAACGTAGTATGTGTACCAGCAGGCAGGGTTAGGTCAATAATTTCAGGTACAAATACTACTGGAGTCACTTGACTAAGCCCCGAACTCGTAATAGAACCAAAATAAGGAAAATTGGAATAAAATTATGACTTTACCCTAACCTGGTACACATACTACGTTCCGGTGTCCGCCGTCTTGGTTCACATACTACGGGAGTACCGTGATTTTTACCATGGTGAAGTCACCATTTTATCTTATCATTTGTACCAGTTTATCTAATCTAATACCTGGATAGTCTCTGTTGTATTCAGTCCACACTGGTCCTTTATGATAATAGTAACATTCTTGGTCTTGGCTGAGGATTCAAGAGGCACCGTCCATTCAAGTAGTCCATTCACTGACACGTACATGTCCGTCGTTTTTGATTTGTCGATGTCGAAGTATATGAACGGGTCTAAAGTGAAAGAATTTAATGTAAAGTGTTTTTAAGTGTTGTTAATTTAATGAAACTGCGCATGTTACAGCTATTTAGTATGCAGTTGTGGTGATTGTAAACATTTAGGATAATATTTCAGTATATATTTATCTCGAGGTAAAGCAATGCCAATAATGAAGCATGTGACGAACCACGGCATTTTAGCAAGTTACAAATTCATGGGGTCGTGTATAGAAATAGTGAATGGTTATCCACATGCAAGGTCTTTGGTGCTGGAGGAAGCCATAACTGACCGGCGGTCACGTGAAATATTCTCCAACAGCGAATAGCTCGGCTGCCCTCTCGCCCATAATTCAAATACCATCAAAAACTTCATATTAAGTAAATTTGTAATGAATCATGTCCAGAGATGTGCAACATTTTTTTTTATCGGTGGGCCATAAAACAAACTTCAGACAGACATCTAGTCGGGCTACACACACCGAATATACAGCTTTTCAATACGGGAGTAGAGAATGTGGCTATTGCTTCTCCTTGAAGTAATAAAGACACCGGGCAAAACGGTGAGAGATTTAATGCAGCTACACGAGGAGAAAACATTATGTATTTTTTACCAACGTAAGCGACTTAATAAACATAAACGGTCGAATTCGGATTGTATGCTTGATGGGGAAAAACGGAGTGTTGACAAGGTCACACGCTGTATGTCTTGACAGGCCGGAGTTGTGGCCCGCGGGCCTGATCTAGCCCATACTAACCTCCTGGATCAGTTGCATTCAATTGATAGATGAATATTTCTCCTTCAAACGCCTTGAGTTTATCTTTTTCTTCGTTCAAAACTGGTGGCCGGTTTTCTGTCAATATATTGAATAACATATATTAAAAATACTTCTGAGAAAACTGTAAAATTTTAATGCTTTTTATTATTACATAAACATTATAACGGAAGAAATAGGTGTTAACATAATATTTGAACCCGGATATAGTTGGTACTATTCTGTCATCGACCGAATACAATTTCCGGATTTTTATAGGCTGGGTTAGGATAACTTAATTTAGTTAAGTTCTTCCTCTACCTAACTTAATTAAGATAATCAGATACAAAGAAAATCAGTCAGAAAATTAGTGGAACAATAGTTCTCTGGGATCTTCCGTGCAAAGCCCCCGCAGATGGCGTTGAAAACTCAAACCATTCCTGACCCTACCCGAACCCCAGCTGGATAATTACTAATTTGTTATTTTAAAACATACCAGGGGCGTTTTTCTCAAATCTCACATTTTTACATTAGTGGCGAGGCTTTGTACAAATGATCGGCTTTCTGATTTCTTACATTAACTAGACTCAAAACTGTTACACAAAAACGTACGACATTGAATTTAAACGATTTATAGCTAAGAAAATCTCATTCAGCAAAAAACATGGCTGTAGCTAATCAGATTTCACAACCATAGTAAAACTGGACCGTGCATAGAAGTAAACAAACAACCTAAATCACTAAACTGGAACAGTCGTTGAATAATGGGTACTCCCGTAGTGTGTTTACTAGGTTAGGGGTAGGCCATAATTTTATTCAGTTTTTCCTTATTTTTTTTAGTGGGGCTCCCGAAGTATGCGAACCAAGATGGCGGACATCGGAATGTAATATGTGTACTAGGTTAGGGTTAGGCCATAATTTTAGGTATAAATACTACGGGAGGCTCTTGGCTAGTCTTCGAACTGATAATAAGGCTAAAATAAGAAAAATTGGAAAAAAATTATCGCCTAACCCTAACCTTGTTACCCATGTTACGTTCCGATGTCCGCCATCTTGGTTCGCATACTTCGGGAGCCCCTTTTTAGTTCTATTACGAGTTGGGGGACTTTCTGTGTTAGACAAGTGATTATACCCCCTGTCCATAGGCTTCAATACCTTTACACAACATGATGTAAAGTAGGCGAACAAAATTAGTTACTTCCATATCGGTACACAGTACACACTTCTGGAGCACCGAATAATGATTAGTAAACAATTTGGGGTACACAGCTATTACTGGGACTGGTTAACGCGTCGCCAGCTGAATATTTCAGGTTAAACTTTGTGTCGAGGCATTTCGAAATCCTAATTGGTGAAGAACAAAACCAAGGTATTATTTATGTCACGCTTTTCTTACTACTGGACCAATTGCTTTAACATATTCAGATTGTATTTTTCGCTGAAGAGATATTTTTTAAATTTATTCCAAAACTTTCTGTGGGTTCTGTGTGATTCGTATTTCACTTCGAATTTTTTTGTGATGACCTCTTCAACATTAATAAAAATTATTTGTAGCAATTCTTCCTATCCTAATAATCATACACCCACCCATATTCTGAACTATAACAATATTAAAATTCGTTGCATAGGACAAAGTTATTACGACTAGACTAGCCATTCTTCACGTCAATGGTTAACAAAAAGAACTTATGGGAGCGACCTGAACGATACCAACATGAAAAGTGAGGTCATTAAAGAAATTTATGATGTATAAGCACACGTATGGTACTTCTATTGTACAAAATTGGTGAGAAAAAAAGCGGGCTCGTCCGGGATTTGAACCCGGGACCTCTCGCACCCAAAGCGAGAATCATACCCCTAGACCAACGAGCCAGTCGACATCGGAAGCGCGAATACATACTATATTCGAGGACTCTCGAATTGAACGGTCGATGTCTGCGGGAAATGCCTGAGGCGTTACGCACATAGCTAAAGCAAACAAAACAACAAAGGCGTCACAAAAAAGTCGTGGTGCGTGTCTTTGTGTGCGTAGTTTGGAAATTATAGTTTGCATACAAGTCCCTAAAGGGCCCGTGGCTCGTTGGTCTAGGGGTATGATTCTCGCTTAGGGTGCGAGAGGTCCCGGGTTCAAATCCCGGACGAGCCCTGTTTTCGTTTATATTATTATTTAATTTGCCCGAATATCGTGTAATAAACGGCTAAAATAGCCACCGCAATGTCAGCAAAATCTAGAAAAAGATAGTTCGCGAAATATCATATGAAAGTGTCTTCGTGAATTGTCTATCCTACGTCTAATAGAATAGATCACCATTCCTTCGAGTTGCATCTCGGATTTTTGACAAGTGTTTTGATTTCACAAACGAGCCGACGACACCGCCAGAATGGAGTGGAAGTGGTGAGTCGTCTACGACCCATGGGCCGGGGCCACGACCCATCAGGCTATGGGCCGCGGCCCAACAAGTTGTGCAAAGGGACAATTCACTTGGCTAACGCAGACAGTCCCCAAACTCATAATAGAACTATAATGTGAAAAATCTGAACAAAATTTTGTCCTAACCCTAACCTGGTACGCATACTACAGGAGTATCCTTTTCTGTAGCTTGATATTTTTCTTTATTTTTATATAAATGCTTATCGTAAAAAAAAATGGTGGCATACGGCGATTTTTTTTTTATTCGAATATTGACAATTTTGTAAAAATTGAAAAATTTGATAAGATAATTGTATTTTTCCTGATGGGACCGCGGCCCATAGCTTGATGGGGCATGGCCATTGGGGCCAAATCAGATGGGCCGTGGTTCCGGCCCACAGGCCGTAGAGGAGTCACCACCCCTGTAGCCAGAATGAGCGACTTATATTAAAAAATCTGTCTTTGTATCAATTTAAATACTATTGACAACTTTGCTTGGGCGATTCGGCATTTTACTCCAACTATAAGCAGCTTGGCAATATCGTTTTCAATTAATATTTTATCTCTGGTTCACTCATTTTTACAAAATCTCAATTGGCGATTGTTGTATAATTAATTATTATTATGGAGTGGCAAACAATTTTTCCCTATTTTTTTTTTCAACTTTTTGCATTTATTTTTTCCTTTGACTTACTATGTTATTTATCTCAAGTTTCTCGCGTTTTTCTTACTCACTCATATATCTGTTGTTGTGTGAGTGTGAATTAATTTAATACTTTTTAGGTGAGTGAACACGTACCACTTCTTCTGGCAAAACCTTCCGAGTTAAATTCTTCACGCTATAAACCTCAATTAAGATTTTGTTTGCTCTCGTAATTCTATAATTAGTTTTTTATTTATTTATTCTTATCAACTAGTTTATTGTCGGTTATTCTGATTATGGAGTCGAATTAAACTTATACTTTCCGTCGAACATTCCCTTTCTTGCCTTCATTGTTATTGATTTGCGCACAAGCGGAAAGTATGATCGAATGAGTTCATTACATTAATTATCCAAAGGTATAATTACAAATTAATATAAGCTGTTCGTGCGGCTCGTTGGTCTAGGGGTATGATTCTCGCTTTGGGTGCGAGAGGTCCCGGGTTCAAATCCCGGACGAGCCCATATTTTGCCGGGATGTAATTGAGAAATAAGAAGGATGCTGCCAAAAGTAGCCAATGTAAGGTGGGAGTAAATTTTGGCCTTCGGAGCCCACTCTGACTATTTATCTAAAGTTTTATATCACCCAGACCAAAACATACAACCAAACCCAATTTTTATATTTTAGCAGTATTTCATTTAGTTTCTGCGAAACTAACTACTTATCCTTTTTCTATTCTTTGCGTCAGTGGATCCGTATGTATATAATGCAATGATGCTGTAAGCATAGGAGAATTTAACTATCCTAAGTGATTCAAGAGCCTTGCTGCATACAACACAAATGGTTCCATTACATTTGAACCCACGAACATTTGAACCCATGACTATTGCACCTATGGAAATTTTTTTGTTTTACGGATATTTGAACCCATACTAACCCTAACCCATGGGTTTTAGCACCCGCATATAGATTGAACCCGCGGATATACGCATGGGTTAAAATGTACGTGGGCTCAAATGTACGGTCACCAACACAAATATATTTATTCAACGTTCCGGCTGTTCAAAGTCAGACTTTCAGCAGAAATACATTTGTGTGCAGCAAGACTCTTGAATCACTTAAATAGCAGTATTTTACACGCGCCATTCGCGCATAAAATTTTCGCACAAAAGCATTGCCATCAGACACATCCCAATCAGTCGCCAACTAGAACGAGCTTGTGCTAACCTGCGAGTGTAATTGTATTGCAACTGGAACTGATAAACATAATCATAATCGCACTAATTAACAGGTTGGTGATTAGTACTTGAAAGCATTAGATTCGGGATATTTGGAACAACTTGGCGCGGCTCGTTGGTCTAGGGGTATGATTCTCGCTTCGGGTGCGAGAGGTCCCGGGTTCAACTCCCGGACGAGCCCTATTTTAATGATACACGCGACTTTGGTTTCTCTTTCGAAGGTTACTACAATGCAATAATACAACAGCTAGCCTGCTACTATAAGTAAATACATTATAAATTTCGTTATGATTTCAATAATTATATCACATATTTGTCTTTTTTTATTTTTTAAAATATTTGCATGGATTGCATGGATTAGTTGAAGATAACCTAACCACTCACGTGCGCACGGATTCAATGATCCATATCCAAGATGTATTGTGACGTCAACTTCATTTGATTCCCTGGTGCCATCGGTGACCTAAGACAAGAAGAATTATTAGGCTTCGATATTGCATCAGAGGTAGAGCTAAGATCTGTGGCCCGATCCCGACCCAAAATTCGGGCCTGAAATGTCAATCATTACGTTCGGGCCGGGTCGGGCTTCTCTATCGCTGACTTTTTTTTAAAATAAATGGTGCTCCCGAAGTATGCGAACCAAGATGGCGGACATCGGAACGTAACATGGGTAACAGGTTAGGGTTAGGCGATAATTTTTTTCCAATTTTCCTTATTTTAGTCCTATTATCAGTTCGAAGACTAGCCAAGAGCCTCCCGTAGTATTTATACCTAAAATTATGGCCTAACCCTAACCTAGTACACATATTACATTTCGATGTCTGCCATCTTGGTTCGCATACTTCGGGATCCCCGAATAAATATATGTTTATAAAAAATATATTCTAAAACTATGTGTGGAATTCAAAGAACTCCTGAATAAAATATAAAATTTCAGGTTTGCTTCGGGCTCGGGCCTGCAAATCCAATTAATCAATCGGTCTCGGGTCGGATTTAATACCCACGGGCCCGGGTCGGGCCGGGCTGGAATGTTTTGGGCGCCATCTTGCATCTACGGGAGTCAGAAGCGAAAATAATCACACTTTGAAAATGGAAAAAAAATTAAAAAATTAATTTTGCCCCAGAGTAAATTCACGGAGATAATATAATAACGATTATGGTCTCAATGTCTCACTCACCTTAATTTTGTAATTAACTTGCGGTTGTGACGTCACAAGAAGTGTTTGGATCTCTGGAAGAGGACAGAACATATGATTCTCTTCTTCGGAATTAAAAATGGCGGGAAACGAAACGGCGTTAGGAAACGGACCCTGTAACGATTTGTTAGTTCATTAGAAACAACTGACTGACGCAGTTTGTACAAGTTTGCTAAAAGTGGATTGCTGTTAGAAGTTTGGCAAGTGGTCACTTACGTGCTAAGGCAGGGCTACTCAACTAGCGGTCCGAATCCGCATCTCTCGAGTGCTGAAGTCGGGGAATTCCAGAAGTATGTACCAAGATGGCGGACACCGGAATGTAGTATGTGTACCAGGTTTGGGTTAGACCCTAATTTTATTCCAATTTTCTTTATTTTAGTAATATTACGAGTTCGGGGACTAGCCAAGTGACTCCCGTAGTATTTGTACCTGAAATTATGGCCCAACCGTAACCTGGTACACATACTACGTTCCGGTGTCCGCCTTCTTGGTGCACATACTTCTGGAGTACCAAATTTGGACCGCGGCTGCAAGTCGCTGGAATATATCTTAATTCTATACATCTTTACGGGTGCAATGGGAGCGAATATTTTACAATATCTAATGCGCTCGGCTGCACAACTGAAGCCTTGTCATACCGGCATCGAAGCATAATATTGAGCATTGCTCTTTTATTTTGTCAAACAATGCATTTGAAATTTTGTTTGCATAGTTAAAATATTTTCTTAGAGTAACCGGACCACCCCGTTAATTTTTAAATTTTGCGTACGATGCTTTGACGAAAATAGTCGAGTAGCCCTGTGCTGATGTACAATTTCCTTTTTGTGAAAGAGCCAGTAGATACCAGTACTTTTAATATAGACGTGTTGATGGATCGATTTTTTAAAACAGGGGTGGGCAATCTTTAATGCAGGAGGGCCACATTAAAATAACTGGGAGAAACCGCGGGCCGCTTCTTTATTTAACATAGACTTCAAAGTAGTCGCAAACACAAAAATTCTAGCTATTGATCTTATGCCATGCGTTGTTTGCTACGCACAAGCTAGCTGTTAGGGCATTGTAAGCAGTGGCGGGATTCAAATTTTTTGTCAGCCAGTTCCATCACAAAAGTCATATTTTTCAGCCGATTTGATTACAAACAAAACATTGACAGTAACCAGTAAAGCTAACCGGTTTGCTAATCTCATACAATTACGTGGGGCGGTTCTATAGAACCGGTGCGAACCGGCTGAATTCCACCACTGATCGTAAGGTATTGGGATTACATACACGCACCAGATTGAACTAAATTAAAGACCTCAAATTGGCACGTCACCGCAGGCCCCATAATTTTCCCTTGTGGGCCGCATTTGACCCGCGGACAGCAGGTTACACACCCCTTGTTTAAATGACTTGGTCGCGTAAAAGGTATGATACCAAGGGAATGTAATAGCGTCTGCACAAGTTCAGATCATAATAAACCTACTTATAAGACGCTTTTTAACCGCCCTAATATCCTAATACGGGGATGTATAAGCAGTCACTGTTATGTCAGAAAGTTCTTAACAAACAACTGCAAAAAAATTGAAACTTACATCTTGTTTTGTAACAATGCAGTTTAGAGAAGATTGTTCGGCAACGGAGTCACTTGACATGTGATTACTCGAAACAAAGCCGGTTCCAAATATCTCTATTCGATCACAATCGCCCATCATTGCATGGCATTCTCCGCTATTCGCTACTCCAGTTAACACAAGAGAGGGAATTTCTATCGTTGTTGTCGTCTGAGTTGTGGAAGGAGGTTGCCTATTTTTACGAATATATTTAATATTTCCCGCCAATATGTTAAATTCTCTGATTCCTGTTTGTGACGTCATATTATGATCATTATTAGTTCTTGTTGGAATTGGAATTTTATTATTAGACGAAATATGGGGAGATGTTTCTTCGATTATATTCGAAGTTGGTGACGTCATCGGGGTTGTGACGTCATCTACAGTAGGTTTTGAAGTTGATGAGGTTGTAGTAAAACGGGATGTGGATGTTGTAATTGGTGTTGATGTAGTTGTTGGAGGTATTGGGGTTGTTGTTGAAGTAGATGATCTTGTTGTTGAAGTAGATGATCTTGTTGTTGAAGATGACGTCACGGGTTCAAAGGTTATGCTTGTTGTTGAAGTCATTGTAGATGATTCGGATATTGGTGATGAGTCCTCTTCTGCTGTAGAAATAAACAAACAGATATACGGTTAGGGCTATCGCCACCGATATGGATACAAAAAGATGTATTTTTTAATTTTTAATTTAATTTTTGCCAGTAATCTGCGCCGATTTTAGAGTCGTCTATTCTACATATTGTGGAAATACAGATTCAGATAGGATGCTTTTTGACAAGCTCTAACATAGGGTGTCCATAAAGTCCCTTTGCAGTTTTAATTTTGTTAGGAAATTAGTTCTCAATATATCTTAACCAGGTTTGGTTTTTTAATCAGTAATTATTTAAGTATTTTTACCTCATTTATTACATCTGTGACGGTCAAAACAATATATGGTATCAATGAATTTCGAAACAATGTTAAGACACCCTATATCTTTAGAAAAAAAATTTTGGCCGATCATTTTATATCTTCTCTATTTCGTGCATATTTATAGTATTTATTGGGAAGTAAGGGGAAACTTTCAGTGAACTTCAGATACCGACATCTTGTTCAATTGGCAGATCTTTAATGGCATTTGAATGGCCTGTTTCGTATCTGGGGCTATTAAACGGTTTTACATGGATCAATTTTAGTTCTATTCATTCGTAAAAATAACACGACAAACATAAAAATAGTAAGGCGGGGAATTTTGCAAGTGACTGTTGCATAGGTAATTAGCGTAGGTAATTATATATATATACAGGGTGTTCATAAAGTCTTGAATTTTTTAACATTGCAAAGGGAATTCATCGATACCATATATTGTTTTGGCCCTCACAGATGTATTAAATGAAGTAAAAATACTTGAACAATTACTGATCAAAAAACTTCATAACACATAACAAAATTGATATTGTAGAGCAGGGGTCGGCAACCTTTTATCGCTCGCGGGCCAAAATTATAGTTGCAAGTCATTGGCGCGCCGCACATATTTTTAGAAAGTTGAAAAACCGAACGGATGGTACTTTTTATAATAAAAATCAAGCAATGATACATCTCTCGAATAGAATATGGATTTATTTTCTCATTGCATCTCTTAAATTCCATTTGAATATTTTCAGCGCCATTGAACCCTTTGCACTTAGCATCAACTTTTTTGCGTTTTGTTGCCATTTGTCAAATTATAATTAAATTATACGCTCATTAAACGAGTAATTGTGAATTATATAATTGTTAAGTTATAATATAATTTAGTCTAAAGAATATATTCGTCAAAACGGATGTTTTGTTACCATAATTTTATAATAAAAATCAAGCAATGATACATCTCTCGAATAGAGTATAGATTTATTTTCTCATTGCATCTCATAAAATTCCATTTGAATATTTTCAGCGCCATTGAACCCTTTGCACACGTTTTGTTGCCATTTGTCTAATTATACTTAAATTATATGCTCATTAAACGAGTAATTGTGAATTATATAATTGTTAAGTTATAATATAATTTAGTCTAAAGAATATATTCGTCAAAACGGATGTTTTGTTACTATAATTTAGTGAAGCGTCGCGGGCCGGATTATAGTGCTCCGCGGGCCGGATCCGGTCGTAGGTTGCCGACCCCTGTTGTAGAGGGACTTATGTATACATATATATACGCATAGAAACTTTAGAAATCAATGCCCTTTTCGCAGTTCTTGCACGATTGTTCAACCCAAACCCTCTTTACACTGGTGCCGCAAAGAAATTCCACTTTCTTTAAAAAAGCTGAAAACATTGATTTTATCGCCAGCTGACCTCGTAAATGCATATCTCCACAATCCACTCCGAAATAACCGTCATGACAGACACATCCTTGGGAAGAGCATTCGCCATGATTGTTGCAATTACGCGGGCACCGTAGAGCCGATAGCACCGAGTCTGGTGGAGATAAACTTCCATCCCTGCGAAGAAAAAGGGTTTAAGTTCAAGAATACTCAAAATTGGGCGATCCGGAATTGTATGTAGCAATATGAAGGTAACTAATTTTGTTCGCCTACTTTACATCAAGTTGTGTAAAGGGACTGAAACCTATGGGCAGGGGGATATTCACTTGGCTAACAAAAACAGTCCTCAAACTCGTAATAGAACTAAAATAAAGAAAATCGGAAAAAAATTATGGCCTAACCCTAACCTGGTACATATACTACGGGAGTGCCGAAAATGGTGCCACAATGACAATTCAGAGCGATGGAAAAAGTTATTGGACACGAAGTTGGTAGATTTTAGTTCTGGGTGGAAGATCAAAGCTTTTGTATAAAGGCCACTCCATTAGTGCAAAAATATGAGATTTGAAAAAACAACTCCGTCACGTTTTCAAATAAAAAAATTAGTAAATATTCAGTTCCGATTAGGAATGATGTGAATTCGAATTTCCAGCTAACTGGATAATTACTAATTGAGGGTGTTTTTTGGGCTGGGCTGTGAATGTAGTATTTAAACTCATTGAAACTTTAGAAATAAAAACCCCTTTTTCAGCTAGTTGGAACTGAGTGAAAATTCTCGCGGTATCTTTGATTAACGCGACGCGACATTGCTTGCGAAAAGGAGAGAGAATCGGTTTTATCATTCAAGAGAACTTTGCGCGGCGCAATATTTCCTCTCTCTTATATTATTCTCAATCTTTCTCTCACTCTTTGTGCGTTGAGCAACGAGTGAGACAACAACATAAAGAAAAAAGCAAACGCGAGACGGGCTTTAATTGTTTTATTATTATCTATTTCTACCACATGCGTTAGGTTATTGAAATCACTCATGGCATTTTGTTCAACGGTCATCGGCAATACTCTGGTTTCTCTTCATTACACGCATAAATCTTTCGCCTTTTACTAAAGATTTCCGTGGAGAGGAGCATTCAATGAGTCTTCAACAATTTTTCTTGCCTGGGTAATCCCGGGTCCCCAACCTGATTCAGCAAAGCTAAGCGAGATAGTCCGAATATCCTACCTATATCACTACCGCCCTTGCAATTTCTACCACTCGCGCAAAATAGATCGGCGATGTTGTGACGATATTATAAACGCACAGTTTTGGTAACTATACGTTAGGCCTTGGTTTACGCGAAACTGACTTTCTTGCGCTTTTTTTTTTGTGCCGAGGCAGTGATTCCCAACCTTTCAAGCGACCCTAATTTCCAAAATAACAAAATTGGTAAAATCTCGCGGACCTTAGAAAATGCTCAAAAACAGCATGGTATGTAGAGATTTATGGCCGCAAAATGACTAATATAACAATCATCAATTCGGGAAAACATCCATTAGCACAGCTGTGGTATTCCTGTATTTGGCGAGCGATATAATTATACGGAGCTGCAAGTCGAGAACTCATTGCGGCGAATACGCAAACGGCCTCGCGTGAAAAAAAGAAAAAAGCAAACGAGAGAAGAATTTTAGAAGTTTTTTTATAATCTCTTTTAACCACAAACGTTAGGTTATTTGAATCGTATGAGGTTTTATTTTTAGGACCGGGAAGTCAACACTCTGGTTTCTCTTCATTACACGCATAAATCTTTCGCCTTTTACTAAAGATTTCCGTGGAGAGGAGCATTCAATGAGTCTTCAAAAATTTTTCTCGCCTGGGTAATCCCAGGTTCCAAAATTAAATGTTTAAAATATAGTTGCCCGAACTAGCCCGTCGTTCTTGAAGAGAAATTTTGCTCCGTCCGGGCATCCCGGGTTTTCAACTATTTCGAAGCTATTTTACTTACTTTTCATTTTCAAATAAATTATTTTTTTAAATTGAGTATCACGATTATCTCGGGTGTAATAAAGTGGGTAGACAATGCAGAACCGGATAGTAGCATTTTACCTAGCAGCAAACGCTTGTGCAGCGCCCGGTTCGGAGCGAAAGGTTGGGGGTCGACCCCCTGGTTTTGGGGGTGGCCCCCCCCCCCCCCCCCCCTTTGAAATGTTTCTGGTTACGCCCTGGACACAAGACAGGGGTGTGGCCTGCGGGTGATGGGTGATCTGAGGATCGTAACTACCCCTTTTTGATTGAAAAATATCATTTTTTGTATATTACATAGCAATTTTCGTAGCTTGTAACGCTTTTAAAGACAGAACTCATAAAAATTCTTTATTACTTTGATGTAAACGAAAAAATATTAATACTTTTTTTCCGTTTCTGTATAATTGTACCCAAAAATTACAAGTCACTTCGCACAAAAGTTATGAGCTTTCTATGAAAAGGTTCCAACTAACCCGAGTTTTGTCACCTTTATTAATAAACGAATTTAATGAAATTTTTACCTTTCTTTTCTCCATACGTTTGTATTCTTTATTAGTCTTTCCTCACACATATTTTCAATCATAGAGTACGATCTCTCAGCCCAAATCCAGTCGCCTTTATTGTGGACATCTCGGACGCATATATCGATGGCTATCTGTAAAATAAATTTATGGACGGTAATAACCTATTGTAACACAACTAAATGTTAGGAAAGGACAGTAGTTCTTAAACTGTCATACGTTATGTTTTCTTTTCAAAGACTACTCGCGGTCTTTTCTTTTCAATAAAATAATACGAGCTTTGTTTTTAGGGGTTTATTCAGCTATTTAAACGCCGCGTTTAATTATAATAATAAAACAAACGATACTAAATTATTTAAATACATTACATTCAAAGAATTAAATCTGTAATTCTGGAAGCCTTCGACGGTGCTACTCTAAGTGCCACCGGGCTGAAGGTACATTTAAAAAAATCTGGGCTAAGATAAGTAAATATGTTAGACTATTGTCCAGTCGTTCTCTGTCTTAGCAGGTTATTGTTGGTATAGTCAAACAGACAAAGCCTATAGAACAGTTAACTCGAGTTATCTTAACTATTTTGAGATAAACAGAATCGAAGAAAACGGACAAAAATGGGCGCCCAAGAAGTGTCATGTGTACCGATATGGAGGTACCTAAATTTTGTTCGCCTATTTTACATCAAGTTGTGCTCACTTGGCTAAAACAGATAGTCCCCGAGCTCGTAATAGAACTAGAGATGTACCGATACCACTTTTGTCGCCGATACCGATACCGATCCGATACCAGCCAAAAACGCCGATACCGATACCGATACGCCGATACTACAAAAAGGCCGATATTACCGATATTCCGATACCGATACTATGTAATTATTACTTAATTAGGTGTGCTGTGTAGGGCAGACGGGTTAAAACAATGGTCTTTGAGCGTTGTTCATAGTACACATTATTTCAGGTCGAAAAAAAAGATATATCACATAATATGAAATTAATGTTTGGTGTTTGCTTCAACTGATTAAGATACATTATACAGTAACGCTAGTAATCTCGGTGTTCAATTAGAAAACTCATTATGCCCGGATGTCCTATTTAAACTTAATATGAATATTGCGACCTTCGAATATCGTTATTCGTGTTTAAAAGAATATCGAATATCACCCACACATTCTAGCGCCGCCGTCCTACGTTCAGATTAAAAGCATTTTACAAATATTTTATTTCGTGGCTAATCGTAATCGTCGACGCAATAAGTCAAAGCCAAAATGAAAGAATATCAATCAGCACCGACAAAAAGAAGGCCTACCTATAACCGTCGAGGATGTTTTTTTACTTTACTATTTTATAATATAAAATATTTTACAATTGCTATCATATATTTCGAATTTCGGAATTTAGTTTATCGATGTCGACGGACTAAATGACACTCGTACTTGACGACAAACAGTCAGAACTTATACCCGTGCCAAAAGTCCATGTGCCGTTGATAAGGACCCCAATTCCACTGTATGATTTGAAACTGGGCGCCTAGTTGCTTTTTGTTATGTGCTGTGTTGATATATTTCTTCATAATTACTATGTAATATTAAAAATGTCAATATTAAAATTTGACAGCGAAAATAGCCAAATTAGTTGAGCTAGTTTGGCTGATGAATAGCTAAAAACACGTGAATCCTATTCTCTCGCGGGGGTGGGGACATGTATGGCTCATAGCTCACGATCTCTCCAGACAAAAAATAAATTAAAAAGTAGTATTCCAACTTATCTTTTAAAATATTCTGGACCATATCAAAAAGATAAATATATCGGAAATATCGGCCTTGATTTAACCGATACCGATACATGGCCGATACCGAAAAAATGACCGATATTGCCGATACCGATACCCGATACCGATACATCGGTACATCTCTAAATAGAACTAAAATAAGGAGAAACGGAACAAAATTAAGGCCTGACCCTAAACCTGGTACACATACTTCGGGAGTACCCAAAAAATTGTTGTGCAGCAATAGCGCGATGGTACCCACGGACGCATAATGTCAAGCCTATCACAATAGCAACTTTCACAGTAGTAATTTTATGTCTAATGTTTGAACAACCCCATTTCTAGTTTTAACAACTTCCCTTAATTTCCGTCCAGTCTATTTGTTTTACTTATGTGTCCTAATTATGACAACAGTGTCTTGCCAAAAGAAGTGGCATGTGTTCAGTCACCTAAAAGTATTATATTAATACACACACGGACGCACACACATATACAACCACAAATATATACAGAAAAAACGTGAATAATTTGAGATAAATTACTTAGTGAACAAAAGAAAACCAAAAAAATATACACAAAAAAGATTATCTGCCACACCGTGTTGTTGACTTTGAGACAGTTACAATAGCGGGTATATTATATTTCAATGCTAAAGCCGCGAGGAAGGAGTAAGGCATGTTTGATTGACGCTTGGTAAGGAATGCGTATGACCAATTCGCGAGTCAATTCGAGAGAACGTCTTTATATATGAACGCCGACACGAATACGCGACGTAGCCTCTATAGCTCAGTGGTTAGAGCACTGGTCTCGTAAACCAGGGGTCGTGAGTTCGAATCTCACTAGGGGCTTTTTGTTTGTGGCACAAATTATCATACATTACGCTGAAATTATAAATCCAAATAGAAATAATCACATACAATATCATATCCAGACAGTTTGAATTGATATATCTATATAGGTTGCCGCTAACAGGTAAGTCATATTATATATACATATATATATATATATATATATTCCTTCGCTTTTATATTACCTTTTTGCCAAAATTTGCAAAAATTCGGTCGTCCACAAATCAGTCTAAATGAAATAATTTGACCAATGCCATCTAGATTATTCTATAAAAATTAATTGCCCAAATCTTATTATAACTCTCACCTAAATAGAAAAATCGCATGCAATATCATAACTAGACAGTTTTTTACTGATATATAAATAGATCGCCGCTAACAAGTGATATTAATACAATTGTTACGACATCATTGACTTTTTTGTCTGTTGGTTATTCTTACGGAAATAAACCAGGAAATCTATGCTCGGCGAAACATCCATGAAGCCATGTTTTTAAATTAATTCAAACGTGTATAAAATTTCCCACATGCCTTGCCCTAAGTTCAAAGAGACGCTAGAAGAATTAAGTGTAACATTTCTTTTTAAATTACTTTGGGTTTTTGTAATAAATTTGGAGCGGATACAAAAAGTCATAATGTATTTTTGCGCTACGTTTGGTACGTTTTTGAGTTGAATATACAATCAGATATCTCACTTTCTCTCACTCCATTTCTCGCATTTGGAAGGTATAATATGACCAAATATACGTACCTGGATGGCATCTTCCCCTAAGATTGTCCCACAAGCTGTAACGATGCTCAGTTTCCTAGAAAAATAAATTAAAATAGAATTTGCGGTGATTGGATGACACGATGGCAAATCGACCGCATAATTTGGGACTTTATACTTGTGGGCGTGGATAATGCCAGCACACTCAGCAGTCTTTGCATCTTCGTCATTTCTGGATCTTCACAAAGTACTATTGGACTAGTACCTATTTCGCAAAGTACTATCGGGCTAACATATAGACGGCAGCTTAGAATTGGGATCGATATATGTCCTCAATCACTATTATAATAGCACCCTCCTATTGGGTGCCTCAAAGAATGCAGTTTAGGAATAGGTAGGGTTACCATATTTTTGTGACTTCAAATCGGGACGCCTCAGAAGACAGCGACCCTTAGCTGTGATTTTGTAACTTCACATTTTCCGATTTTACTACATAGGCCTTCATTAAGATGCTGTCCCGGCTGTCTTTATTGACCATATTGTTATCGAAATTCCATGCGCATATTCTCTGTCCAAATATCGGATTCAGTTCGGAAGGAATTTACGTTAACGATACAGGTACAAATAATTCGAATTTAGACTAATTAGTATTGGGTTTACATGCGATACGTCTGCCATCAATGGAAATCAGCGGGAAACTAACGCATTCACCTTCAGTAAGTAGGCTAGCGCTGCTATACAGAAACAACAGTAACGAGAACATGTTCGTTTGATATGCTCTATGGCTGAACGCAAAAGCGGGACTTTTGGCTGACATGTCGGGACTGCGGGACAAAAAGCTGAAAAGCGGGACTGTCCCGCCTAAAGCTGGACGTATGGTAAGCCTAGGAATAGGGACAGTTTTAGGGCCGTGATCGACATTTGAATGGCCTTCATTGAGCCTGATATACACAACAGAGCGGGAATTAGGAATAAGGACAAATACATGATATATAGAGTTATCTGACTGACCTAATTGACATAGAGTTATTGTCATTGCTAATACGCTAATAGCACTATCATTTTACACCTACCGTATGATTGTGCCACATTTAGCAATCACATAACTTTTCGACCATCCTTTGCTATTTGGCCATCTCATGTCTGTTTTGAGGCTAGTTTTCGGAAAACGATCGTCCAAGAATACGTAGGTCGCCCGATTTCTGTATTTCGTGCTCTTAAAATTTAAGACATGAGTTATAAATCACCAGAGGAATGCAAATGGACGGAAAAGTCAAGGACGTAGCCAGGGGATGGTTTTGGGGGTCGGAACCCCCCCCTTTTAAAATGTAAAAAAATAAAATCATCTTTCTGTATCATAGATAGTAATTTTCCGTAGCTTGAAATGCCTGTTAGACCCCTATGACTCATGAAAACACACGTTATCCGGCGTTTGGCCGGATCCGCTAACTGTTTCGATCAAACTTGGCAAATATAAATTTCTACCCCCCCCCCTTTGAAAATTTGTGGCTACACCCTTGGGAGTAGTTCCATACTTTCGAATATCGGTTTCCAGTACTGGTTCAATCTTTAGAAAACGTACCTCGTTCCTGCCCTGGTCTGGCGTCTGGTCTCCATATATTGAAATCATATCTGGGGTTTGTGGTTGCAAAATCTGATGCGTTGGAGTAACTCCACCGACAGGAACTCCACCCCCGAACTGACGACGACCTGAAAAAGATCGATTTGAATGGCTGTACTACACCAACGGTTCTCAACCGGTGGCCGGTGGCCCTAAGGGGTCTACAGTGTAGACCAGAGAGGAGAGGAACAAAACGCTAAATGTGGCTAAATGTCGCTTGATAATTTTATTTCACAAGGTGTTTTCACTTTGGATACCAACAATAGTTACGTCATTATCACAGTTAAAGCACGTGTTCAATCGTAACAATTCAGTTCGGTATCTTAATTATACCGGCTGATTTCGGCCCCTTGCGGGTGTATCCCTCTCCTGGCCCGCGATTATCCTCCCGCTTCTAATTTTGGCCCCCGGTCCATCAAATTTAGCAACCACTAACCTAAACTCTTAAAAAAGCGGGAGGGAGACTTGCGCATAACATTAGCTAAGATCCATTGAAGATTGAATAAATATAAGGGTGCTCCCGAAGTATGTGAACTAAGATGGCGGGCATCGGAACGTAGTATGTGTACCGGGTTAGGGTTAAGCCAAAATTTTATTCCAATTTTCCTTATTTTAGTTCTATTACGAGTTCGGGAACTAGCCAAGTGACTCCCGTCGTAGTTGTACCTGAAATTATGGCCTAACCCTAACCTGGTACACATACTACGTCCGCTATCTTATTTCCCATACTTCGGGAGTACCAAATAAAGTACTTTTTTCTACAGGGCAAGGGAGGAATTGAGAGCTTCAAAATAGGCGGAGGGAAGATTCAACAAAAATGCGCTATTAAATTAAGGACTGAACAACAAGCGGGAACAAATCGATGATAAATAAAGCACAACCGGTGTTAGCTAAACGATTTACTTTACGTTTCGAATTCCTATTAAGAAAAACTTTGTCAGAGACTGATATGGAAAGCACACCACCGTAAATATATACAAAGAAAAGAGAAAGAAAAAGGTATCACGGCATGAAATCTACGGTACTCCTGAAGTATGCGCACCAAGATGTTGCACAACCTGAACCCTGACCTGGTACACAACCTTGGTTCAGGTTGTGCGCCATCTTGGTGCGCATACTTCAGAAGGTCCAAATCTACTCCATGCGCTATTTATACGGAAACAAAGCTGGGAAATAGTTGAGAACCACTGACATACCTGTTCCAGTTTCCACAGTACGCGGACCGGTACTTGCAGCAGTATCGACACCCCTTCGTTTATGTTTTGAAATCTTCCGCGACGATATACCAGAAATATAATCGCTTCTTGTAACCGGAGTTTGCGATCGCCGAATTTCTTCGGATCCATATCCGGCACTACCAGAATCGGCTTGTTGAACTCCGACTCCATATCCGGCACCACCAGCTTGTGATGATTGGTAGTTTGAATATTGAGAATTATAACCTGCCCCAAAGTTGCCATGAAAACTATTTGTTGCGCCGGGGATATTATACCGGGAGTCCCCAACTCCGGGTTTTGCTCCAAATCCGGGGATCGTATCCGGAGCATTTTGTTTACTCATACTTTGCGAATTACCAACATGGCCGCCGTGAAAATTGTTGCCGGCGCCAGGGATATTATACTGGGAGTCCCCAGCTCCGGATTCTGTCCCATATCCGGGGATCGAATCCGGAGCATGTCGTGAATTACCAGAATGGGTGTTTTGATATGGGTTATATTCTGGGACATACCCATAGCTTGCATGGTTGGGGACCCCTTGACCCATATTGCCAAACTGGTCCCCAAATCTAGGTTGCTGAATAAAATTTCTCTGTTGTGAATAATAATCCGGATAGTATCCAAAGTTGGATCCGGTAGTATCCGAATAGGCAGATCTTGACTCCGGACTCTGCTCTGGTTCTTGATTCTGTTGTGTATTTCCGTAATCCCCTACCGGTTTTGGGACATATCCGTAACTAGAGTATGTATTTCCCGTTACCGGATTACCCGAATTTCCGGATATTGACTCCGTATTTGGAAGCTGTTTACCTTTAACATTCTGATCAGTTGCATATTCAGTTTGTGCACTATCAGACTGAACGTCGGATCCGACGTTCGAATGATATCCGGATTGGTGCACCGGATTTACATATCCGGTACCAGAAACTCCTTGTTGGGAGCTATAATCCGGTACATATCCATAACTAGGGTTTGTAAACTGTGGATTCTGGAAGCCATTTCCCGCCACTTGTGACTGAAAATAGTTATTTGGATTGTATTGATATTGACCATAATTCCCATATGGATTGTAAAAATTGTTCGATCCTCCGATCGGGACATTTTGTTGGAAATCTCGATAATTAGGGTTTTGTCCAGAATATGCTTCTAGATGTGACCCGCTCGGATTATATGCATTTTGAGTTTGCTGGTTGGAATAGGCACCTCTTTGCCAATTTTCTTGTTCGTTGGCGGGAATGTTTCCAACGCCACCTTGTGACCGTTGATTTCCGTACATGGTATTCCCTTCCTGATAACTTCCGCCAGAGGTTCGAGGGTCATCATGCATGGTTTGATAGCCGTGATATGACGCAACTCCTTGGTGATATCCATAGTCATTTTCGCCTGGGATTTCAGCCATAGATTGTCGTTTGTTTCGCCTCCCGCGTTTTCTATGAGATCTCCTTTCTTGTACCGATCGCTTTTGCTTTCCACCATTCTCTGAATCTAAAATATGTGCAGATTTTAGAGGCGAAATAAGTTTGGGTTCATCGTGCAGAATAATAATATGGTATTTTGCAAATTTTGAGTTCCGTCCCACATAAAATGCTCTCAAGGTGCCCACAAGGTGCCTACAAGACGCTCCAGAAGTGATTATACCAATATGGAGGTAACTAATTTTGTTCACCTACTTTACAAGTTGTGTGAAAGGACTGTAACCTATGAGCAGGGGGTATATTCACTTGGCTATCACAAACAGTCCCCGAACTTATAATAGAACTAAAATAAGGAAAATCGGAATAAAATCATGGTCTAACCCTAACCTGGTACACACACTACCGGAGTACCGCTTAGGTCTCGAGGTTCCTCACAACTCGCAATTACATTTTTTGTACTTGCGAATAAATGATTTCCTGATTTCTAGCAAAATTTTAAAAAAAAATGTAGCGTCGTACCTTTCTTTATAGATCTCTTGCTTCTACTACGATACCTCCCAGACGAGGGTTGCCAGATTGAATAGTCTTGTCCTCTCATCTCTTGATGAGAAGAAGACGCATCCCAAACTCGAGGGAATATTTTATTCGGCTGCAAGGAATGTTGCAAAGAAATAAAAATCATAGATTTATTGGTGATCGTACATTTGAACCCACGTACATTTGAACCCATGTGTATATCCGTGGGTTCAATCTATATGCGGGTGCTAAAACCCATGGGTTAGGGTTAGTAGGGGTTCAAATATTGGCAGAACAAAAAAATTCCATAGGTGTAATAGTATGCAGGTGCAATTGTCGTGGGTTCAAATGTACGGGAACCAGATTTATTAAATCATATGTTTAATAACAAAAAAAATTATTATCAACTTGCTAGGTTTATTTTAGCTACAGGGGTTCGCAACTTTTTTCAAGCAACTAAATTTTCTAAAAAATAAATTTCCTAAAATCGGGCGACCCAAGGATATACCAGGCGGTATGTAATGATGCTTTTTATATGGTCACAAAATCAACTGAACAATATGAAACAACCATTTATACATTCAATTTTTTTTCCCCAAAATTAATTAGAATTCGGAAATGTAATGTGTTTATAGCTAAATCGTAAAATTACTGTAATGTTGCGATGTCAATTGAAGTAATTAGATTAGCAGACATGTCTGTAACGCTAACGATGAGCGACTTTCATTTTCATATTTTTGAGGATTGAGGATAATTGTGATAAATAAACTACAATTTAATACGAACCTGGCGTTGGATCATCTTAGACTCTGCAAGTGCGACATATTTCTCAGTGATGTCATTCCCCTCAAATAGATTTGGTCGATGTATCGGGTTTTGGTATTGACATTTCTCGCCGTACTTGCCACATAAACAGTAGTTTGGGGAAACTGTGGAGTTTGACTTTTTGACAGGAACTCGTTCAAACAAGCTGAAACCGGCTGGGAGTCTGAAATGGGATTTTTATATAATTTAGCACAGGAATGGGCAATTACTTCCCTGAGTCAGTTACGGAGAATAGACTCCGGGGCTCAAAACTCAATATGAATAATAAAAATTATCGCCTAACCCTAACCTGTTACCCATGTTACGTTCCGATGTCCGCCATCTTGGTTCGCATACTTCGAACGGGTGAAATTTAAAATACCTCTAGAAATGGGGGCTCCCGAAGTATGCGAACCAAGAAGGCGGACATCGGAATGTAATATGTGTACTAGGTTAGGGTTAGGCCATAATTTTAGGTATAAATACTACGGGAGGCTCTTGGCTAGTCTTCGAACTGATAATAGGACTAAAATAAGGAAAATTGGAAAAAAATTTTCGCCTAACCCTAACCTGTTACCCATGTTACGTTCCGATGTCCGCCATCTTGGTTCGCATACTTCGGGAGCACCAAAAAAAGTTTACTTACAAATAACTTACGTAACAACTGATGTACAACAAATAGCCAGTGTATCAAGTGGACAATGATTAATGGGACTGAAGCACCCAACGATTCAGTATTTTCATCGATATTTTCAACGGAAATTTATACCCATAAAAACTAAAGTCGTTATTTCAGCAAACATAAATGGACCGGATCAAACAATTCGATGGGCCACTGATTCAGCAGAAATGTTGTCTTACGACTACATCCTGAGTTAGCTTTACTGTTTTTATCTGTTAGTGATTTCAATACTTTGTTTTTCATATGGACCTAAATGGCTGGAATAATAAATGAATTGAAAAATCAAGATTCCGAGGCATAACGAAATGTAGAGAAGTGATAGAAAAAGAGTTGCAAACGACACTTAACACGTTTGAGATTTATACGGGTTGGGCTAAAAGTGGATTCACAACTTTATAATAATTCAATTGAATTTATTAATAGCATAATAACTATTCTATATAGGTGCAGAGCCGGCCTTAGGCCATTGCAATCTTTACAACCACCGCGGTACTTGCACCAGTGAGAGTCATTGAAATTAAGTATTTGATTTTATATAAATTATACGAAATATAAAATGTAATGACGATTTTCTTTTCCATACATTTATCATTCTCATCTCCAGCCAGAATGGGCCCCTCACAATCTATTTATTACAGCAGTTTAAGTCGGCCTAGCATGTGTATAGCATGTGTCCAAAAAGTAATAAAACAATTCAAATCGCAAAGATGATTTACCGATAAAGCTGCATTATGGACGCCAATCGGGAACTAGTCATTTTTCATACAAGCTTTTCTCAACTATGGCAAGAAAAGCGATAGCATGTGCATAAATAATGGTTATCAATTGTTGAATTTGCTTCTTATAAAAGTTACAATACAAAAGCTAACGAAAAATGTCGTCCACAGAGAAATCAACTTCTCGCGTACCTAAAATTTTCAATGTTTTGTCTCCTTGCATCGTTGATAGAATTTCCATCAAAATTTCCACATAGCCCCTTAGTCTTCCCATGATCAACGGAAGGTGCCTGCACTGTTATGCCGAGACCCCACGGTTCCACGTCAACTCGAACAAATGCCCCAGACGGGAAAAAGATCTGACGAAAAAATAGATTTTTATGGGGGTTTACTGACTTTGGCTATGAATCAGGCTCTAAATCAGCGGCTCCCAAACGGGGGGCCCTTGGCCCCTCGAGAAAGTCGCAGAGCAGTTGGAGGGGGCCACAATGCTAGTTGAAAAACTGATTCCACTTTTCACTTTACAAGAAAATTTCCCGTTTTCCCGCAGTGTATTTTTGACAAAGTTAAATGAAAAATTTATATCAGAGATTCTCGTTAGTATCCCGAGACACCATAGTTTGCTCCCGAAGGGAAGAGTATCATGTATAAGAGAATAAAATGTTATGAATAGCGAGACTTCATGACAGATTGCAAACCCGCGTGAAAAAACATAATGAAGAAAAAAAATTCTAGTCTTTAGACGTACCGTTATTTTCTCCCCTTCTCTCGATGTTAATATGCGAGTAGCTGGGTCCATTGGTAACTCACTGACGATTTCAATTAGAGGTTCAGTGACGTCATTTGATGACGTCACATCTTGCCCACATCCGTCGATAACGATGACGTCACCTCCTTCACTAGCTGCTACTCCGCAGTGACACCAAGAATTGTGAGATGACGCAGTCCCGTTAGTGATGTCACACTTGTCCCAGACCCTAGAGTGAACCTGCAGTGAAAAGTAAGAGTGTTGAATTATACAAGGAAATGACGGCACTCCAGAAGTATGTGTACCAATATGGAGGTAACTAATTTTATTGGACACGTTAGTGGACATAACGATCGTTTTGATTTTTTTTAGATACCTAGTGGATAACCTGAAAAGTCGCTTTTCTCTTTGATTACTGGACCAATTTCTTCAAAATTTTCAGTAGTTAAAAATGGAATTTTTTATAGAAGGCTATTACTTTCATTTATTTCAAATATTCCTGTTAGCTCTGTCGAACGTTCTGCGGACGCACATCGGCTGATTCCGTGCTGGGCGTTTGCCGATGGATCTAGCACTTAACGAAAGTGGGAAGTTTTTATGCCGAACAGTGGACTGTGGTATGATTTTCGGAAATTGGCAAAATTTTCTAGGTGTCCATATATTTGAGCATATCTCTCTTGTTTTAGTTGTTTTCGTTCTATTACGAGTTCGGGGACTGTTTGTGTTAGCCAAGTGTATATGTCCCCTGCCCATAGGCTTCCCGTTCCTTTACAGAACTTAATGTAAAGAAGGCGAACCAAACTAGTTACTTCCATATTGGTAAACACACTTCTGGAGCGCCGAAATGACATTTAATGTCGCACAACCATGAATGGCAAATTAAAAGACGCAGTTTTGAGTAAACGCATAGCGATATCATTAAGCTTATTTGAATATTCTCAAAAGTGAAAAAACATCGAAGTTTGCCAGTATGAATAGTTTATTATGTGTGTGCATAATTTTGCGGTACTCCCGAAGTACGTGAACTAAGATGGTCGACACCGGAACGTAGTATGTGTACCAGGTTAGAGTAGCCGTAGTATTTATACTTGAAATTATGTTCTAACCCTAACCTGGTACACATACTACGTTCCGGTGTCTGCCAAAAATACTAAATAAATAAAATATTAAGAGTAATACTACATGAAAACAAAAAGCAAAAATCCCCCCCAAAAACAATAAAATCTCTTTTCAGAGAGATATTTGTAATCACCTTAAAGTCTCGTTCCGTTGACTCATACATCACAAACGTTCCTGTCGTGTGTAAGTCGTATAGTGCTCCATCTAGTGTCACAATATGCGGGTCAGTATATGAATAACATTGTGACGTATCTACATCCGTGATTGTGACCTAAATTAAACAAAACGAATAGAATAGATAAAGATTGCTTTATGTTCATTATCGACATTTCGTGGCAACTGCAAAATTATTGGTGCTCATTTTGGAACTTGAATTATAAAAAAGTGAATAAACAGAAGCAAAGAAATAAATGCATTAGAGCAGCGGTTCCCAAACTATGGGTCGCGACCCACTGGTGGGTAGCAAAAAGAATCTTAGTGGGTCGTGAAAAGATGTAGAAAGCTTTGATTAATTATACTGGGTATAAGGATCGGTGGCGACTCGAATACGTAAATCTTCAAAAAAAAAAAAAAAAAATTAAATTGAATTTAAATTCTAATCTATAAAAGTTTCCTTTTTACGATCTTCTCAAAGGAACAAAAATTTGCTACACAAAGAATGACCATGTGGCTTTTTTACGCATGGCAGTTTTGTACACTGTACAGCACTTCTTACAGTGTTTCCCCGTAATTTAGACAGGATTTAGATTTATTTTCTTTCGAAGAATAACACTATGGTTTATTTCTGAAGAGGTCTTTTAAGTTCATTTATCAAAACTAAAATTACATTGTAAAAAATCACGAGATGAGTCGACATAAGCTGTGGTACTAAATAGTGGGTCCCAACTCTGAAAAGTTTAGGAACCACTGCATCAGAGCAGGGGTGTGCAACAGGCTGCCCGCGGGCCACAACCCGACCCGTCAATCTATTCAATGTGACCTTTTGTCAACACTCAGATTTTTCCCAAAAAAATTATAATCCGACAGTTTATGTGCGAAAATGCGTTCACATAGATAAAAATAAATAATGTTATTACTTATCGATTTTAATCGTTACTCATCGATTTTAATCGGTAAGTATGTTGATAGGTATTTGTCTGTCTGTATGTCTGTCTGTCTGTTAGATGCACGCGATATCTCATGAAAGCGAGATTGAATCTGCTGCAGATTTTGCATGTGCATTTATCACATCTCGGACCAGAAGCCTATTGATTTTGGATGAATATTGTCGTATAATTAGCAAGTTATTAATTGATTAGCGATGGGACACAAAGTGTCCCTATAGAGTAAGAACGCTGTTTTGGGATCCCCTAACTTTCGATCGATAAGTCTTCGGTCTCTGACCGATATTCTCGTTTTGCTATTGTCGCTGCGTTAATTATTCGACTTTTTTCCTTATAGTATGATTTAATGTTAGACTCCCTTATAAGTTACTTGCTCGATAATAATCGATGAAATGCAATTTTTGTTTTCTTTTTTTTTCTAAATTAAGTTTGTACAATGTGTACTTTCGACATGCGGAAAATAAACTACTGACTGACGGATTACAGTTTGTTAAGTTGTTGACGAGATAATAGTGTTCAGTGGCGTAGCCAAAATTTTCGACTCGCGAAGCCACCCACCTGGCTACGACACTGATAGTGTTCATAGGCTTGATAAACCTAAAATCAGTACCCTGGTATCCTTTTTAACAGTGTTTTCCAATCTATGGGACACAAATTGGGTCGTCTGACAATTTTATTGGGTCGCTTGTTTTGTAGACAAAAACCTAAAAATTACTGCTTTTCTAGTATTTTTTAGTATTATTACTTATCGATCTTAAGATCGGAAAGTATATTGATAGGTATTTGTATGTATGTATGTATGTCTGTCTGTCTGTGTGTCTGTCTGTTAGATGCACGCGATGTCTCACGAAAGCGAGATTGAATCTGCTCCAGATTTTGCATGTGCATTCATCTTATCTCGGACCAGATTCCTATTGATTTTGGGCGAATTATGTCGTATAATTAGCGAGTTATCAATCAATTATTGATTAAGTGATCTAGATTTTTGTAAAGCGAGAGAATTTTGAGACCCGCCGAGTGTGTGTGTGCGATGCGCAGTGCGCAAGTTACACGAGCGGATGAATCGAAACTGCAGTTTCTGTTTTGGGGGATCCCCTAACTATCGATCGATAAGTATTCGGTTTCCAACCGATATTCTCGTTAATTTTATTGTTCATATTTGTATAAAAGTGAGGAAGTATCACAGCCTAAAAACTTGGCCCCTACCGGTATTAGACGCTCTGTTAATTTTGTGACCATTGAAGGCATAAGCATTGCATATCTCCTAGTATTCGAGCATATTGTTTACAAAATTTGTTTTTCAAGAAATTTGGATCGCTTGAAAAAAAAGTTCGGAACCACTGCTTCCCAACATTTCTATTTAATGAAGATCTTCAGAACATACCTCGACGTCTGGGGCATCATAGCCAGCCCAAGCAGCATCGTGGGCCAGTATCGGGATAGTTTCAACCAGAGTTTTTCGTGTCCCGTCATTTGCAAAGTCCTGGACTCCGGAAATCTGTATGGAAAACAAGATATGTATATTAAAATGTTGGATACAGAATGAGTAACCGCAAATCTTTTAGTGTAATGATTAACATTTAAATAATATTTGATTTATTTAAAAACGTTTTTTTTTTTGGGGGGGGGGGGGTGAGGGAGTGTTGCAATGCCTGAGAAGTTAGAATGTCGGAAACAGCTATGCTGGCGTCGTCTAGAGCCACCTTACTTATATCAACGTACTTTTCATGTTTATTTGAAACTTAAAACATACTAAAAAATTAAAGAGAAAGAAGAGTCTGTGGTCTTCCGTGACAGCTTAACAGAAGATCCCAATCACATAATCAAAAGGTTTGCTTTTGAAGGAATTGTTCTAGTCGTTTAGAAATCAAAGAGACTTTTGACAAAATTTTTGTTTGCACCACTTATACATAATTGAAATATTGAACGATATTGAAATTATTGTTCACAACATCCCAGCAAGCCATCAGAATGGTCCGTGGCCCCAATTAGATTGGCAGTCACTGTTTTTTTACATTGACAGTAATGGATCCGTATCCTCTCACCTCAAATTTCCCTTTTCCACAAACTCCTTCCTGACAGCTTATCCGCGAGATGGCAACAGAGCATCCAGTAATCATTACATTTGGAGGTAGATTGTCCTTAGAATCTGAAAGGAGTGAGATGAAAAGCTTCAGTTAGGTTCGATTTTGTGCTTAGTAGTTGGAACATTAGACTTAACTATGTTAGAATCGCAGATTACAATCTTGGCTTCAAATTCCATGCCCTCACATCAAATAAGGGTATAACTAGATAGCAATCAGAGATCACCGACTTATCCATCGTTCGTAGCGACGAAAGATAAGGGATCCCCCAAAGCAGAAACTGCGTTTCGATTCCTTCGGTCCGGCTTAATAGCGACACAGTGTCCCAACACTAATTAATTAAGTTCAACAGTTGAAGCAATATAGTCAGGAACATGTTTTTTTGCATTATACATCATGGCGACACAGACCCGAGAAATTCGATTTGCGGACTTGCAGAATCCTATGAATACTTCATAATTAAGGTATAATCCGACGCATTTTCTTACCTAAGTTTCTCGCAGCCAAGAAAACCCTCATAACACAGTTGCCTCGATCTTCCAGTTGGCATGGAAACGGTACTGAGGATGTTACTGTTACAGTTTGCGTTTCACCTTCTCGTATACTTATAACCTGTGGTTGCATCTGAAAAATGAAATAAGAAAGTGGCTGGAAGTTAATTATTACTTATCGATCTTAAGTATGTTGATAGGTATTCGTGGGTCTGTCTGTATGTCTGTTAGATGAACGCGATATCTCACGAAGGCATAGTTGAATCTGATACCAATTTTTGCATGTGCATTCATCATATCTCGGACCAGAAGCCTATTGATTTTGGATGGATTATGTCGTATAATTAGCGAGTTAATAATTAATTAGTGATGGGACACGTGGTGTCACTATAGAGTCATGAATCAAAACCGCAGTTTCGATCGATGAGTCTTCGGTCTCCGACCGATATTCTCGTTTCATTTTTATTCAAATTTTCCCCGTCTGTAGGACTCTACAATTTATTCAAAATTTTGCAATATTATTCTGAATAAATTTTTTTCAATCTGTCGCGCTTAATCGCCTCCGCCAAACTTGCCCGCCTTGCCAGCAAGCAAACTCGGCTTTCCGAGACCATATCGTTACCGATATGCGATCTTCGTGCTCAACCTCCGCTCCACTCTTTTATCTGACACCATTTATTCATCTATAATTCGAACCCGCGGGGGATAAGTACCTTGAACGGGATGGGTAATTAAGTAGCGATTATGACAATTTATTTATTCTTATTCCTAATTCGCCCTACCTTTAATCCAATATAGAATCCGGCGCTTTCTTCCACGCCTTGCAGCTCAGACGTTGGGGTTCTTCTGTCGACAATTCTCACTGAACACGTGACCGTGACGTCAATTCTGACGACAGTTGCTTCAGAAAATGTCTCAGTCGTTTCGTCAGCGTGGAATAATTCCTATAAATAAAATATAAGGGAAATAAAGTTTTATCGTTAACCTTGGAAAGTCGATGAGACGGCTTGATTACGTGACGAACCGCGACCTAACGCCGGGTTGCTTGTTCACATAGACCGGTGTTTTGCCGTTTCGATAAATTTCTCTAGTTGTCTGTATTGGATCTTTATTCCGCCCTTACAGATGCATGAAAACTGTGTTTCAGTTATTTGTTCAATCTTTAAGAAATCTCTCAATTAACGCAAGTCGCGCAAGTTACTTTTGCGCAGTTCGAATAGTTCAATAATATTGCAGGTATAAATATGTTTTACAATAATACAAATCGAGATTAGTTAAACTACATCATATAAATAGTATTATTCCGTACAAGCCTCCCTGGTGGCAAATCCTCCATAGGTTGTGATAAGCTGAGACCATAGTCGGCCAGGGTAGCCCTTGCAAACGCCCCAAATCCCACCAATCATATTATTTTGGTTCTCTGACATACAAAACACAAAAAGTAAACAGAAAAACAAAATGCAGAGATACCTGGGAGGCGAGCATAACTTAAAATAAAATAAAATACAAAAGCGTAAAAGTAATGCTTTTTATCGTATAAGTACACTTTTTACACCAGCCTTAGATAATGATTCAGTATGTTTGGAATAATATTTTGGATACTTCATTTTAAATTCAAGACGAATATGGCTTAAAAGCCTTTTATAAATATTGTCACCTTTGTCCCATGTTGCGTGATCGTCCAAGTAATTCTATACAACGCTTGGTTTGCGATTTCTGGCCTCGATGGTTTATCGTACGTACAGCGGAGTCGAAACCCTCCTTGAACCCGCTGATCTGTTGAAGACACCCGAGGTGATGATCCGTGCAAGCTTCTGGGGCCAACATTCCGTCCTAAGAATAAAAATATAAATTGAAAGACAAAGCAATCTTTAAAATATGGACACGCAGGTCACGAATCTGTACCGGTATGCTAGCAGCTGAGATGAATTTGCTATACTTTATATTTAAATTTACTGTGCCCTTTTTTATGTCGATCCATCTGAAAACAAATAACTGGTTTTCTAATCCCATACCGACATGAACTGGTAACCAGACAAGAGGCCGTGGTTCGCCATATGGTTAAGCCGCCTTATTGGCTTTACTTTTCACCGAGATAAACATGTAGATACTATCCTTTATTCGTATATATTCATTATTTGTGGTAAGGGTCTGAATCAAAAACAAAACATCGGCGGACAAACGTAAGAGAATGAAGTGTTCTCCAATTACATATAAAAATTCCGATGGATTGAAATAAAACAATGATATTTGAGTGGTATAACGGTTTCCACTTGACCCGAGGAAAATTTGAAATAAAACATAAAAGTAATTGACTTCTAGCGGCTTTGACCTTATTTCTGGTAGAACGAAACTAGTTAATGAGGAATTTATGATCACTCTTAGTTAGGGGTATCACTTGGATTAGTGGTAATTAGCAAACAATAAGTTATAAATAAAAGACAGTAAGGCGAAAGTATGTTTTACTAAAAAAACACGTTGAAAATACGCGGATGAAATCGCAATCTCTAAACAATAAAGAAATATAAATGTCCAAAATAAGGCGGACAAGATCGAATTTAACAGATGTTTTTATTTTTAATTTTTTTATTGTTATATATCATAAGCGCTTCGCAATGAATGCATTTCATGCAGAACAAGTAATATTCACACAGTACAGTTGTACAGTACATTGTACAGTTACAAATGGTTACCATGGCGGCAACCTACGTCACAGTTTCATTAGTTTTCCCTCAAAGATTGTCCACGTCCGTCTTGTGGAGCGCGAAGCATCGTTAGAGAACCACAAGATTAGACCCAATTAGGATTGTTATTTCAGTAAGCAAAACAACTCTTAGATAACAGTTTTTGTTGAGAGCGTTCCATATCAAAAAGGATTAAGTGTTTAAGTTGGCGTATAAAGTTTCAGAAAGTATTTCCGATTCGTTATGCTGAGTGAAATAATTGTTTTAAACCGAAATTCGAACTATTTTGGGGAAAATATTTCTGCGGAACACGTGGCTAAAATGAGGAAGAAATTTTTTCTTGTAAATTTCCTATTAATAGGAAAACTTGAGTACCGTATCGTATTTTAGATTAGACAACATTTCCGATTCGCTATGATGAGTGAAATAATTGTTTTTCAACCGAAATTTGAACTATTTTGGGGAAAATATCCTCGTTCTAAAATTTATGTCTGTGGAATCCTTTTTTTCATCCAGCTGTCTACAGGGCGGTGTTGTCTTGATTGCTGCAAACTCTGTTGCTAGGTTAAACCCATATGTGAATCCGTTAGTGTGTCAATAGTTACTTAGATTTTATTCTATGAGTGATTTTTGAAATCTTGAGAAGCGTATCGTGTTTCAGAAAGCATTTACGATTAGCTATGTTGAGTAAAATTATTGTTTTTCGACCGAAATTTGAACTATTTTGGGGAAGATATTACTGTGAAACCCGTGGATAAAATGAAACAAATTTTCGCCTTGAACTTTTGTATCAATAAGAAAACTCGAGTATCGTCTTTAATTTAAGTGACATTTCTGATTCTCTATGTTGAGTGAAATTATTGCTTTTCAATCGAAATTCTAATTATTATTGAGAAAATATTTGTGCGGAACACGTAGCTAAAATGAAACAAATTTTCGCTTTGAACTTTGCTCGATACTTGAAGCTTCAGTATCGCATCGTCCTTTAGACGGCATTTCCTATTCGCCATGATAAGTGAGATAAGTATTTTTCGAGAGGAATTTCAACTAATTTTGAAATAGTTTTTTTCGAATATGTGATAATTTTCTGAGTAAACCAATTATTTTTAAATTCTGACGCAAAAGTTGTTTTCCAAACAGAGATAACTTGAATTCCTATTTTTGAAATGTTCTAATTTGAGGAAATATTTTGTGTAAGTATGAATATACTGAATAAAACGAAACAAAGTTTCCCAAAATTCCACGCAAAATGTTTTTCTTCTATAAAAATTCAGCCTAACTAACAGTTGGGAGTTACACGAGACAACGCAGTTACGTCTAACGCTCCAGTGTGCAACCTTTGATAAAGAAGGGCCAGATATAAATGACGAGTGAAACCGCGGGCCGCACCTTTATTTGGCATGATCTTTTTAGTAGTTGCAGGCACAAATAAGCATTGTAAAATCATATGCATAGCTAATAAATTGGGCTCTGATATAGGCTTTGCAACGCAAAGAGATTGGAATTACTCGAAGATACCATACTCAACTGAATTCAATTTCGCGAGCCGCACACCAATAAAATATGGCCCTTCCTCGCGGGTCGCACAAATTGTCCTTGTGGGCAAAATTTGACCCGTGGAAACAAGGTTGCACAAACCTGCTTCATTTAACCGCCATCAAATTTATTATTACAACGTATTCTATTGTTTAATTATTAGTCATTGTCTATAGTTGCCGATATAATCCCTAATGAATAACAAGCTATAAGTACAACAAAGCAAAAACATTATTTCGTCTCTGCTGGGTGTCTGAGCGGGCAATAAACACTTCGCATGATGTGTATAGTATACTAATTAGAGAGTGGCTGGTATTCTTAAAGGGGGTGACGCGTGGGCAATCGTGCTTTGTTTTTGTTTTTCAGAAAAGACAATGAACAATGTACCTCAAGGTTTTTTAGGATTACGATTTTGTCTTTAAAATTATCTTGTTCACCCCAGTTGACTCAGGTCGATGGGATGAGATTCTGGTTTTCAAAAAGTTAATTTCATTTGCAGGGAAAGCGACTCATTAAATTTAACATGAATTCCATTTTATTGGATTCTCGTATTTATTTCACGGAAAAATAGCTGGAGTATAGAGGGAATTAATATTGTTCACCACGGTAAGGGAATGCAGTAACCCTCACGGATAAATATTTCCCAATGGGATTCAAACTCACGCAGTGTTGGCCACGTCAATGTATCAATTACGCTACAGACCTGCTCACGTGTGATTAGTGTTTTTCCTGAAAATTGCTTTTATGAGTGTCCGCACACCGAATTTGCCGCCATGGTTTTGCGTTTGTTTGTATATTAAACCACTTATCACCTTTTCCGCAATGCCCAATCAAGCAATCAGTGTAATTTTTCGTGGCTTGGTTTTTCTTGAATCTTTCATGGCTTCACGAGCATGACTATCGTCGCAAATTTATCACATTCCACTCCCCACATTATCTTTGCATGAGGTTGTAGGTATTGGTCATTATCAACGTAATTGTTGAAAGTACAACAGCACGAAAGTTTAATACTATCGTGGATTTTGTTTGTTAAGTTTGGCTCAAGCCTCATTTAATTGGGCTTGTGTTTTGGTGTGTGTGGTGGTAGGCAGGCACATGAGCTACTTCTCATGTTTTAAACTTTTTTTTTTAGGTTTTGCTTGCCCTCCAGAATTATCCATTTTTAATTTATGTTTGTTATGGAGTTTTCGAATAAACTATCTATCTTACTATTGTAATCGTCCAGACCAAGGCAAACGTGCCCCCCTTATACCCATATAATCGGAAAAACACGAATTCAAAATATTTATCCTTAACATTCGTACAAGGTTTCGTACATCGTACTATGTGCATTGATGAATAACAAGCTATAGGAACAACAAAGCAAAAACATTATTTCGTGCATGTTTGGGTGTCTGAACACGAAATATACACTTCCCACTTTCCGTCTGGCACACTAATTAGAGATTGTTGGTATTGATAAAGAGGGAGACACGCGAATTAAAGGGGGTGACGTGTTAATTAAAGGGGGTGACTCGTGAATTAAAGGAAGTGACTCGTTAATTAAAGGAGGCGACTCGTGAATTAAAGGAAGTGACTTGTTAATTAAAGGGGGCGACGCGTGAAATAAAGAAAGTGACTTGTGCTTTGTTTTTTCAGATAAGAATATAAATAATGTACCTCGAGGTTTTTATATGTACAAATGACCTGAATGGGTTTGTTACGAGGAAAGTTTCTAGACACGCCCCCCCCCCTCCCCCCATACCTAATTCAAGCTCACACATTGTAATCGCCCAAGCGAAGGCAAGCGTGTTCCCTTTGTACTCATATAATCGGAAAAACGCGAATTTAAAATATTTATTCTCTCGTACAAGGCTTTTTAATTCGTACTTTGTGAACTTTATATTGGCTGTTTTAAAATTACAGCACAAGTCACCTCCTTTAATCCAGAGGTAACTCCCTTTAATTCACGTGTCGTCCCCTTTAACATTGAAAGTCATTTTCCAATTAGTATGCCAGACAAACAGATCATGGAAAGTGTTCAAGACCATATTATTTGTGCAAGTCTTCGTACATCGTCCATCGTTCGCACGAGAAGCGTTTTACCGCAAAAGCGCCGATCTTCCAGAACGCGGAAAAACGCAATTTAGAATATTTATTCTTAACATTCGTACAGGGCTTGTACATCGTACGTTGTGCATTTTATATTGGCTGTTGTAAAAAAAAGCACGAGTCACCTCCTTTAATCCGCAGGTAACTCCTTTAAATTCACGTGTCACCCCTTTAACATGAAAAGTCATTTTATAATAGTATACCAGAGAAACCACGAAAACTAAATAATAATAATAAAACCCTATTTTGTATGGACATATGTACAAGTCTTTGTACATCTTCCGTCGGTAACGTAAGAAGCATTTAACCATAAAAATGCCGATCTCCTGGAACAGCTATCTAACTTAGACCACCTATCAAACCACAGACATGAAAACTTATTTGTTTACAAGTGGCGGTCGAGATCAGACAACAATAGCAGCGAAATTTTACACAATTTCTCTAAAGTTCATCGTGATAATGCGATTGTGGTTGGAGCGTAATTAGGATTATCCGATAAATCCGGCAGATATCCGGACAAGCTTGGACACACGAAATGTATAATATCTTCAAACGCCCATAAGTGGAAATAATACTGAGAAATCGCATTATGAGAAAAACTCAAATAGCTTTAAAGTTTGTTAGCTCGACAATACCAGGTGTGTAACGCCAGCTGCGTTGCAAGGTTTAATCACAAATTACTCGATGTCGGCGATAATACAAAGATGTCGATATATCATTTGAAAACATATGAAATACATCTCTTTGTGAAAACTTAGGGAGATGACGCCAGAGTGATGACGTATGCATATTTTGATACGACAGACATGTAAATATTTATTCTATTAGTTTGAAGTACTTGAGGAATATAACTGTTTAATATTGGACATATGGAATAACTCACATACGAAATACAACATTCTTTTTCAAATCGAAGTCTGATGACGTCAGAACGATGACGAATGTTCAATTCAGAATCGCCATTGAAACAGCGATTGGCATTCATCTTCTAACCCTAATTTCTGATTGTACTGGTGCATTTAAAATCATTTGTGATTAATTAGCTTATCACGGCATATTGGGAGCAAAATACAACCAAAAAATTTTTTAGGGGTGAGCAAGGCCAAAAAATTTTGCCTACATAGACTGGCGGGCGATGTAAGTGTGTAACTGTGGCGACCTAAAATCCAACTTACACAGACCGCAATCACAATCTAACAAGCCTATTGCTCCATACAGATTTCAATAACATAGCGATTGTTATATGTGATGCATGCAGAATTGAGCCGCGGACCGTACTGTACCCATGTCAGATATAAAAGATACAATTTACCTTTTCTTGTTGTTGCAGCCTTGCTCTCCGCACAGAAGGAAGGGCAAGCTACAGCTTCCTTCACAGGTTTTGTTATCCACAGGAAATAAACAAAGTATTCCCCGCAGTTCCGGACTTGAACTGGCACAAGATGAGCGCAGCAATCTGATTGGACAGATACACAAGCCATGATGGATTTTGATTGGTGTTTCTCTGGCAACACAGGTCTGTCGTCATATGTCTCGATTGATTCGTTCTTTTTGGCGCGAAGCCAGATTGGGGTCGATGTTCCACATTGGTTAGGCTGAAAGTTTCCCGAAAATCAAAGATTTATAATATCGAACTTCGTCATAGAACGTTCTAGTTTTACTTTCATAACGTGAACGTAGAATAAAATTAAACTGAAATCGTTAATATACGGTAGAAAATATCGATGAAAAAAACGTCATAATGACCCCGATTGTTACATTGTGCTTCCTAGCCTAGCCCTAGCTGTTGGACTAGCTGATGCAAATAAACTTTTTTTGTCCATAGTTTTTCATTATGAGTTTTTGGCCTAGTAACTAAGTCTATTATCTGTAACTGGCCCAATCAGAAAAGTAATTGCCCACGCCTGCCTATGTGATATTGTACCGTTAACACGCCGAAACACTGTTTACTACAAACAAGACCTTTGAATGTCGAGTAAAAGAAGCATATTGGAAATTGAAATCTCAAAAGCTAACGCAGCAAATTATTTACTTTTCACACTATCTTTTCGTGCCTTTTAACTTCAAAAGGAGCTGTACAACCAGTCACATTTATATAAAGATATATAGGGTGCCCATGAAGTCTTAAAAGGTTTTAAATTGCAAATGGGAATTTATCGATACCTTATATTGTTTTGCGTCTTGTTATTGTTTTAGATGTATTAAATGAAGTGAAAATACTTGAATACTTACTGATTAAAAAACAACAAACCTGGTTAAGGTATATTGAGAACTGACTTCATAACAAAATTGAAATTGTAAAGGGATTTTATTGACACCCTGTATCATTTGACCTACCAGCGTGCATTCGCCCGCCATATCGGCTGCTCTTCCATCGAGGGAAAACCTGTACCATCCTGGTGTCAGGGTCGAATCACATAGAGTTCCCGTATGTCCTCCGAGTGGTACAGTCTCCAGGACGCGTCTGGCTGGGTCGTGCAAGACTTCATGACTGTCAGTTCTACATTCAGATATGTCATCAGCAAATCGGTCGTCGTCTGAAAAGAAAGTGAAAATGATTGAAATTGAGCATATTATCTGAATTAGGATTTGTTCTGTAATCGAGAAATGTTCAAAATTGAGCATAATTTGAAGATTTTAACATGCCATATTTGACATTTACATGGAGGGTTCTGAAAACCTTGAGTTAGTGAGCTCACGGTGTAGATCAATATCTAACAAAGAGCAAGAATTATCTGACTGAGATAAGTCAACATCATCTAATTGGTCGTCGCCAAGAAAGAAAAATAATAATGATCAAAATTGAGTACGCGGTGAGACCTAAAACAGGTTCTTTCTGATCCGGAAATGCTACATGCCGTCTTAAGTGAGACATTGGGGATGGGATTTGTTTTCGACACTTTTAATTCGGGATGCAAACACAGTTAAGCTCAAAACTACATGCGGAGCCGCATGCGACATGACGCACATCCTGAATAACTCTAACTTGGTACACATACAGTTCGGGTTGTGCACCATCTTGGTACAAATACTTAGGGAGCGCCTTTCGTTTAAAGCAGTGGGGATTCAATGAGAGTCGGGAGCATAAAGTCGTTTACTACTCACTAATTACACATCCCTGCCGGTATAAGTCGGGAGCGGTAAAAATAGGTCGCATTAAGGCGATTCAGATCTGTCAAAAACAAACTTTTTCTTTTCGTAATTTATTAGGCTCTTTCTTAGTAATAACTAGAATCCTAGGTTTAACGGGAAGGATGCGAATGGCTCTTTCAATGCTAAAGGTTCCCGACCCGTGGCATATATTAACGCATTAAATTAATCACAAATCGAGCTCAGATTCCAACGAGACCAAAGTCACGTTAGCACTACATTCTAATGACAGCTAATCAAACATTTTATCAGTATATTCCCGCTCATTACGATTCTACCAGACAACCTGTGACACGCCCGTGTTCGTCAATATTTATCAAGGCTTATTAAAAGCATATTCAGTCAAGCACTTAAGGCGAAATGTCTTTTTCAATGTAAGAAAATTGGACCATGCGTAGACAATATCGAAGAGGCACGGGCCATATGTAATCGATGTAGTATAGGCCCGTTATGATATAAAGTATGTTCCATGATAGACGGGATAATATTTGTCCAGGCGAACAAGGGAATATTTTGAATTGTTTTGGGATATGTTTATCAAATTCCGGTTTCGAGAGTTGTTTCCGTTCAAGCGGGTCAAAGGTCAATTGATCATAAATGATTTTCTTGAATTGGCGTAAAGTTATCAGTATTCTATTGACCTGGGCCGTGCTTATTAATCCTTGTACTTGGGATATGTTTAACGAATTCCGGGTTTCGATAGTTACTTCCGTTTAAAAGGGTCAGAGGTCATTCGATTTTAATGATTTTCTTGAACTGGTGAAAATATTATACTGAACTGGGCCGTGTTGTTAATTCTTGTACTTCGGATATGTTTAGCAAATTCCGTGTTTGTCCTAGACTTTACTCAGAAGGAGGCTCTGAACGAGTAATTGCTGCAAATCATGACACTTGCCTCTATATATGAATTACTAAATTGTATAGTGAATCGAAAGTATATAAATTTATCCATTCATCCAAATCCTGAGTAAAATAATAACTGTCCGATTCCCCTCCCCACGCGCGTGGCCTAGATTGGTTACCAACGCTCTTCACTCAGTTATTTTGTTCGCCACATTTAATATTAAAAGTAAAAAAACGAAGGTAAAGTATAAATGCATTACAGCCAAAGAATTGAACAAACCACTGTCAATTTACTTTAGATCATGTGGTCGTGACGGATGATACCTGGTAAAAGTTCTTGTCCAATGTTGTTTGTTCAATGGAGTATGAGCTTGTTATGATATGAAATATGTTTCATGATAGACGGGATAATATTTGTCCAGACGAACAAGTGGAATATTTCGGATTGTTTTGGGATTTGTTTATCAAATTCCGGTTTCGAGAGTTATTTCCGTTCAAAAGGGTCAAAGGTCATTTGATTGTAATGATTTTCTTGAATTGGGGAAGATATTATATTGACATGGGCCGTGCTATTAATCTTTGTACTTGGGATATGTTTAGCGAATTCCAGGTTTCGTGAGTTATTTCCGTTTCAGAAGGGTCAGAGGTCATTTGATTATGAATGATTTTCTTGAATTGGTAAAGTTATTAGTAATATATTGACTTGGGCCGAGTTATTAATTCTTGTCCTAGACTTCACTCTGAAGGAGGCTTTGAACGAGTAATTTCTGCGAATTATGCCACCCACACTAATAGACGAAATAAAATATTGTACAGTCAATGAAAAGTTTATAAATTTATCCATTCGTCCAAATCCTGAGTAAAATAATAACTGTCCGATTCCCCTCCCCACGCGTGTGGCCTAGATTAGTTACCAACGCTCTTCACTCAGTTATTTTGTTCGCCACATTTATTATTAAAAGTAAAAAAACGAAGGTAAAGTATAAATGAATTACAGCCAAAGAATTGAACAAACGTCAATTTACTTTAGATAATGTCGTCGTGACGGATGATACCTGGTGGAAGGTATTGCTCGTGGCGCCCAGAAAACTGCTAATTACACATCACAGCCGGTATAAGTCGGGAGCGGTAAAAATAGGTCGCATTAAGGCGATTCAGATCTGTCAAAACAAACTTTTTCTTTTCATTTTTGTTCTTGGAAAGGATACAAATGGCTCTTTCAATGACAAAGGTTGGCGTATATCAACGCATTAATCACAAATCGAGCTCAGATTCCAACGAGACCAAAGTCACGTTAGCACTACATTCTAATGACAGCTAATCAAACATTTTATCAGTATATTCCCGCTCATTTAATATTAAAAGTAAAAAAAATTGAGGTAAAGTATAAATGCATTACAGCCAAAGAATTGAACAAACCACTGTCAATTTACTTTAGAAAATGTCGTCGTGACGGATGATACCTGGTGGAAGTTCTTGCTCGTGGCGCCCAGAAAACTGCTCAGAGGGAAAAATTTCATAAACCATGTTCTATTTATACCAGGGTTTCTCAAGTTTTTTTTCTCCCCGGAATACTTACGCTTTTTATCTCGCCTCGCGAAATACTAAAAAATTAGAAGATAAAATTGATAATAATAATAAATCGTGTAATGGTTTTATTGTTTTATATAAACAAACTTCATCAGGGCAGTTTCATTGAGGCATACGAGAGTTTGTGTTCTCATAAACGCTTTAAAAAATAACGAGTTTTTTCTATTCATCTGGAAACGCTGAAAGTGACCAGAAGTTGGCGGTTTCACGCATTACGTCGGAATTTTTTGAAAATACGCAAAAGATCGAAAAACAGCGTAGATATTATAGAATTTTGATACCATAAAATTTCACTAAACTTACTGATTTTTCCCTTATTATTATCTGGCAACCATGAAAATGACCAGAAGGTGGCGGTTTCACGCATTACGTCGGAAAATACCTCAAATATAATAAAAACAGCAGCGTAGATATTATAGAGATTTGATCCCATAAAACATAAGATTATCAACTATTTTTTCCAAGGATCCGTAAACAAACTTAAAAATGACTAGGGTCCGGCCATTACAGATATAATATTTTGACATTTTTAAACGCGCATTTCCTCAGCATTACAGATCTTTTCATATGTTGTCAGGTGCAAATATAAGAAAATTATAGAATAACCTTTAAAAATAATGGAGTCATACAAAATATAAAAGGAAACCTTCACATGTCCAAAGTAGGGCAAATGATCCGAAATAAAGAATGCGGTCCGAATCAAATACTCGTAAGGTCCGGATTCGGACCGCCGCTTGAGTAGCCCAGCCATAAAATTCCACTAAAAATACTGATTTTGCCTTATTATTATCTGGCAACGCCGAAAGTGACCAGAAGGTGGCGGTTTCACGCATTACGTCGGACTTTTTAGAAAATACGTAAAAGATCAAAAAACAGCTACAATACAACAGATGTTCTTACACTTTAATGTCTGATAACAGAAATTATCTTTCACAAAAATTATCTTGGAATGTAATCAGCGTTTTGATCAGTGATAATGGATAAAAATTGTATATTAAACGCATTAACGGACATAATTTCCTGTCATTATGACGCCTTTTCATGGTGTAATGCGAATTCAATTATGTTTAGTCTTTTAGGCCTTTTCTCTATAGTCTATAATTCGGGTTTTCATGTTCGCTGGTATTTGAATCTTTCAGACCATTTTCATTTTACGAAATGTATCTCCAAACCAAGACATATACAGTATTTATTATATCCAGAACAAAGTAAAAAAGGTAGCCATCCTAAAATTGTGGGGTGGGGAAATTTTTTTTTTTTTGCATAATGACGTAATATGATGCTCATCCGTGCCACTCACTTTGCTGTCGAAGTTATCCAAGGTATACAAGCGCGCATTTTAATTTTTCTCAGTTGGTTCACTGGAAGAAAGAATTATTGATAGCAAGCCGGGATTTGATAGCAAAGCGTGTTTTTTCTTGATAGTCATACGTACATCGTACACGTACATGGAAAAAGGCTGTGATATATTTGGGGCAAGATTATACTGTGTTGTATCGTCAGCCATCATGATATATGACATTGTATGCGGCATCCTTTGAAGTAAACGAAAAGTACAATATTCGTTGATTGATCGCTCTCTCATATTATCTCTGTTGATGACAACTTAAGTCCAGAATTCGCCGTAAGCAATATAAATCATTAATCAAAATACGATCACCCCCTCCCCCCTATTTTTGTACCATACATAGGAATTTTTGTGGCTTGAAACGCTTTTTAGACCCCAAGACCCCCCAAGAAAACACGCGTATTCCAGCGTTCGATCGGACCCGCTGGCTGTTTCGATCTAACTTGACAAAAAAAAAATTCAGAACCCCCCCTTCTGAAACTTTCTGGCTACGCCCCTGCTCTGGGGCACCATATGGGGCAATTTGAGAACCTATGGAGATCTGGCCCGTCTGCGAAAAAGGTTGCACACCTCTGGTTTATGCTGATATTGAAACAATAATTTGTTCAATTCTACCTCGGGAAACCATATAACAGATGAATGGCTTTTGTTATTGACTCATCACAATTGGCATGAGAAAATGTAGCAGTATTACGTCACAGACAGTAGTTGGCAGACGACTGTTGTAAACAATGACCAATATACAGTGAACAATCACGCGAATGACAACAAGTCTATGACATAACAGTTCATAGATAGAAATCAGAATATGAAAAACAACAAAATCACGCACGCGACCGGTGAACTCTTTGCCTAGACTTTGAACAACACAGCCAAGCAAGATTATTCCGCTAAAAGCATATTTAATCACAGTCCACGTTTGAAATGGACAAAATCTGTCTCGAAAGCGGTCTGCCGCAACGCACTACGCCAAAATCGAAACGCCGCAAAAGTACGAGTGCAATCGATCAACGAACAGATAGTCTACGTCCAAATTGCGTTTTATGACGCCACAATCTAAAACCACTCGCTTAACAACCTGAATTGTTTCATAATAATTACAAGTAAGCGGTTACTGTGACCTTGGAAACATTTTTAAGAATTACGTATTCAACTTGAACTTTGCAGTTTGCACCCCAAATATATTATGTTGACGCATAAACGTTTTTGATTTCACCGCTACGACAGAATTTTCCCATTTGTGTTCGTTAATTAAAAGTTAGGTTGTGATTTACGATACACTAATTGAATCATAACAAATTTGAAGAAAATTACTCAGAAAGTTAGCGAGGAGGGGGGGGGGGGGGATTGACAGTAACGAAATGATGTCCCCAAAATCAGACCAACAGAGGGGTAACTGAAAAAGGTCCCCAAATATTCACCACAATCGGTTGGATTCAACAGGAGTTAGAAGTACTGATTGTAAATTTTGACTTCAACTGTCATTCCCCAATGTTGACACATTCAAATCACGAATCGTGTGAAAATGAAAAGCAGGAAATAATTAGAGCTGACTCAAGTCTGATTTCTCTTTTGTGTTCTTATAATTATTACTCCGATCAGACGTCTCTTCACAGACGCGGGGAAATTAACAATGTGCGGACCCTGTGATTGGAATGTCGTCCGAAAGAACACTTTTGGTAATACCCATAAATAGGTACGTAGCAAGGAATATCTAATTGCCATCGGGTCGGAAAACGTGGGTATTCAAGAGTTGGCTCTAGAACAGTGCTCTTCAACCTTTTTGTTATCGCGGAACCCCTGATATCATTTTTTATGGAACCCCAAATAACAAAAATGAAAATTAACACGAAATACTCGTAACACGAAATATTTGTAATTCAAATATCTCTACTTCAACAACGAAACAGAAAGAAGGTAACAAGCGTGAACTCCAATGACTAGGTTGTTTTTACATTTCCTTTGCAATCTTCTTGAATCGTGGCTCCACGGCGCTCAAAGCAATTCTCATACTCATGTCTACACTCTTTTAAAACTTCTTTTTTGTTTTTAATAGTTGTTAATGCAGAAAATGCTAATTTACACAAATAGGTATTGGGAAATTGACACAGAAGTTTCAATGCTTCTTTTGCAATGGTTGTACCCAAAAAATATTCCTTTCCATGTTTTTCGAAGGTTTTCTCCGAATTAATATCATTGCAGATATCTAAGAGTCCTTCTTGCTGTTGCGCACTTAGAAATTCATCCAAAAACGGAAACAAAGAATAATCATTTTTTGCAACTTTACTGGCTCAGCAGTCAATTTTTCCTTTACACGGAACCCCTAAGGAACCCTATAGACTTACGGAACCCCACTGCATGTGTTGCGGAACCCTAGGGTTCCGCGGAACCACTGTTGAAGAGCACTGCTCTAGAAGCTCGCATCACCGGAAACGAAATCTGTGAATTCGAGTTGATAAAATAGCTATTCTAACTTAAATAAACGTCTCACATATGAATTTATTGTCAATTTATCTTCGTAACGTGTATAAAAGTATGGACAAGATTTTCGGAGTAGGACCAAAATTTTGCCCACCTAGACTGGCGGGCCATGTAAGTGTTACGTAAATGATTTGTGTTATAGTGGTGAGTAGTGACGAATATTGTTTTATTTACAAAACACGTGCAGCATCAGAGGCAGTGGCGTAGCCAGGGGGGTGGTTTTGTGGGTCGACCCCCCCTCCCCCCGTGGAAAAGTAAAAAAAATAAAATCATTTATCTGTATCATAGATGGCAATTTTCCGTAGCTTGAAATGCTTTTTAGACCCTAAGACTAATAAAAACACGCGTATTCCAGCATTCTATCTAACTTGGCAACAACGAAAAAATTCAACCCCCCTTGGAAAATGTTTGGCTACGCCCCTGATCAGGGGGGGCCAGATTGAATCATCCAATGGCCCGGATTTGACCACCCGTGGGCCCTAGTTCGCCAATGTCAGGTGTATTACTACATCATACTTGAGTTGGTAAATGAGTGGAAACACCACATAACGAATGGAACGATAATTTCTATAATAGTTATTTACAGAAAAGTTTATTTCTATTTATGCAAACCACGTGTCCAAAGATGGTATCATTCATAAACACTAGAAACCAATCGATGATGAAAATACTCGAGTGAAAAACATCCTGAATTAGTCAGTTGTCTGTTGGGCAACAGTTCAAAATGGTCAAGGACAGCAAGGCGCCAACAATGTAGTTTCATTAAATATTTTTAGCATTTGCTGGTCGGCGTAAAACTGTTTTTGTATACGGCGTTTTTCATATGTTCACCTGTGGACAAGATTCTGAAAAGCGGCAACTACTACTATAGGAAGCTAAGACAACTGTAACTGTGTTTTGAACAGACAGGTCTTTCCGATTCTGCACTTCTGGCCCTAATGTTTTATAATCATATTGATTGAAGTTTTAAGGTTCTTTATAATTAAGGTAGCAAATAAAATCTGCTTTTGGTAATGGTTTGTGTAATAGGTTTTTCGCGTCTTAACCCAGAACATGAAATGACTGAATCTTTCTGATTTGTATTTGTCACATTACACATTGAGCCAATAATTACAAAATAATTTTTTCACAAAGCAAAATTTTTGGTGCTGCAGAAGTATGCGCACCAAGATGTCGCACAGCCTGAATCCTAACCGGTACACACATACTATGTTCAGGTTGTGCGCCATCTTGGTGCGCATACTTTCGAAGGTCCAAATTTTTAATACAATGAAACCTCAACAAATCTCATATTAAAAGACAAGTGTCCGCATAAATTTTTGTCACTAAGGCGTGCCATTTTATTTGCCTATTTTTTTTTCATTAATTGCTACACGATAGTCGAGATTATGAATACGCTTACATATGAATAAATCTTCGCCAAGACACGTTCGGCGGTAGCACTCACATCGGCACATGCCATCAATCAAAAACCTGTTCTCCCGTTTGGTAGAAACGATCATTCACAAGCATATTATGTGCTAATAAAGGGATAAGCGCGAATATTTAGTGAGTAAATAATTATGATTTATAGACGATTATTGCATCATAAAAGGCGGTTTTTGAAGCATTATTTACAAAACAAAAAAGTATTCATTTCAGTCATCTGCTATTTATGGTCGTGTGCCGTCCGAATTACGTGGTTCAGTGGAATGTTGCGATTTGTGGCGGTTTTGCCGTTTTTCCTCATACTAGTTTGCTCGAAGCCCGGGATTTCGACATAAATTGGAGAAAAGTATCGACAGAAGAATTGCAAGTGCCAATCTTCAAGTGCATACTATTTGATTCAAGTGTCTTCCTGCACACTAACACAAATGTATTTCTGTAACGTTTCATCTGACCGGGGTCATACTTCCTCAGAAAAAACGTTACAGAAATACCTTTGTGTTAGTATACAGCAAGACTCTTGAATCAAATAGTATAGTCATCTTTATTCTTGCCACAGCATTGTTGCGTCACACGCATACGGATCCACTTCCATCAAGGCATTGGGCAATGAAAGGTAGTTAATATTTCGTAACAACAACTGATAGTTACCAAAACGCATACTGGCATGTTTATATATAAAGGTTTATTTTCTGACAATGGAAATGTCAGAAAAAGTGGTTCAATCCTCTCAAATAAGATTTAATACTTTAATACGAGAAGCACTCACTCAGGAAAACACTCAATGATACCAATAATTTTAGTAACACTGAATATTTAACAGTCGTCATAGTTAATCTTGTCGTAACGCTCACAAATGAAAGAAATATTTTTAAGTTTTTTTTATACGTTTACTCCGAACAAGCAACCAATGAAGCCCAAGAAGCTACTTTTTGGAAAATTCAGAATCATTCCGGTTCGCATATATTTATTACTATATTATATCTTAGTGATATGCTGGGCACGAGGTTTTAGATGGGTTTTCACGGTTTTCGCTGTTTTTGCAAGGTTTTAAGTGGTTTTTGACGGGTTTTCACTGTTTCTGCACGTTTTCTGGTGGTTAGTGCGCGTTTTTCGATTAGTCAAGTTTGAAAGTTATTCAACACATTCGTGTCAATATTTATTGGTTCAAATACCATAAAGCTGAACAAAATTTTTCAGTTTTAAATGAGTTATACTGGCCTTACTTTAAACAAATTTACATAAATATATATTTACCCCAAGACCATTTTTCAGTTTGAGCGATCCGAAACCACAAATCCCTAAAGTTTTGTTTTTTTTTCGTTTGGTTAATCCAACAGATGTGTATTAACTTGATGCGTGTTCTGCACCAATCCTTGTAGCCAGGTGTTGCAACCTCGGCCATATCCGCTGGTAAGAAGCATTTATACCATAAACATTTTTGTGATGAAATGAATGAAATTTGAAGGCGACCAGGTGTTTTGTAACGTATCGGTGGTGAAGTGATGTATGTTCTCGACTGGGTGAGATATGAAACTTAATGCTAATGGTTAGAGTGAGTAAGTATATAAATTGTGCCTTATAGTGTGTTCTGGGTTAGGTAAGGTAGCCTAATGCCCTCATCATATAGCGAATCACGACCGTTCATCCACCTTGCCTGTCGATTAGTTATTCATAATCAATTAGTTATTTGAATTAAACAATGTTTTTGACAGTGGGGAAAGCCTTGTAAAGCGAACTACACCCTAGCTCGGCGACGAGTCTAGCAACCCTCTCGCATCTACCGTATTATCCTTTACGGCAGTGTTCCCCAACCTAACTGACCCAAAACTGCGTAGCCCGAAAATTTTCTTGGATTGCTTGCGTTTTCAACAAAAACCTAAAAATTACTAATTTTATTTTCAAATAATTTTTTTTTGTATTTTATATGTACAGGAAGTGAATATTATGTAAAAATGATTATTTTAATTCGCCATTAAGCAAAAGGCCGTTTGGTATTTCAGCATGTCCTTGGGTGGCGAGATTTTACAGAATTTGCTTTGTTCGAAAAGCTTTACAGAACCGCATAGGTGCGAAGGCCAAAGAGTTTTGAACACTAAGCCTGATGTGCCAACAATTTGAACCCGAAACCCCTATCCAGCGACCACAAATAATTCATATTTAACACAGAGTTTACAACTGCGATCTCGTAAGCTTATCTATCCATCGCGCACTATCGCTCATTATAAACGCCATAAAGTGCAAATACCAACAATGTTGAAATTGCATTATAGACGAATTATGAGCAAACAATGAGATGTGTTAAAGCAGACGACAGAATTTGATTCATAGCGGTTTCCGCTCTTGGGAGAATTAATTTAGACTGTTGCTTAAGTATAAGTTTAGTAAGTTAGTTTATTTCGATTTCCCATAAAGACATTACAAACAAAAGGGGAATTCAGAAATTGACAAAACTTCGAGTAGAGTTAAGATGTGCAAATCGGCACACAAACACCACGACGGAGTTCAAAATAAATTATCTTATAAATCAGGGGTTCCCAAACTGGACTACATTTCGACATCACAAGAGGTACATCAGATTAAGTATAAGGCTATTATTTCCATAACTGGACATAATTAGTTTTTGAGTGGTTACAGTAAAGGACTAAGCACCGGCCCCGGTGGCCTAATGGATAAGGCATTGGCCTCCTAAGCCAGGGATTGTGGGTTCGAGTCCCATCCGGGGTGCGTTCGTCTTGGTATTTTGCATTTTCACTCACGGCAGGACTAAGCAGAGTTACGATCACTTCGTCTCAGGGCACACACCTGTATGGCAGTAGCTCACTACCTCAATCCTCAATTCATTGCGTTCCTACTTGTTATTGTCGGTTGGTATCATGGTACCGTACGGCTAAACTGACAAAAAATGGGTTGCATGCTGGTACTGCAGTTTGGGGCACGATGGCGTTTCAGCCGGTTACCTCCCATGTCGGTTACGGGACTGACTTGTCATTCATTTGTCTCAAATACCATGAACTTGATTGTAGAGAAAGTCTGTTAATAGCCATTAGGAAAAGACATATACACACATAGTACCGGTACGGCAAATATAATTATTCGAAAATAACGGCTGATTGTTGTATCATGACAACATAGTACCGGTACGGTAGTAGTCTACCTTTTCTAAAATAACCGCTGGTTTCTTCAAGGACAAGTAACACGCATTCATAGTACCGCTACGATAGTTTACGTAATCGGAATTACGGTTAAAGAAGGCATGCTTATCGGAAATAGACGGGTAACTAATAAAAATATCTTCAAACAATATCACGGCGCCAAAGTCGCCAATACTTTGAACAAATAGAACACAAATACAGTATAACAGGATGATAAAATACTACTAACCTTTCACAATAAGCTGCCATACGCTGCTGCAGCGGAGGCCATTCAAATAGCAGTGGGGCCATATTTGTTTATTTCTAACTTTAACTGTACCAAAGTCTCTGCGGCTTGTACTTGAAGAGCGAGAGATTCCACTATCGCTGGCAATATACATTTGAGTGACCGAATGCGCAAACAAAACGACAGAAACACGCCTGCCGTCGCATCGCTGATTAGCCTGGGTGGTTAAAATCGTGTGGTGGATAATTATTCGCGAAATTGTACTAGACCTCTCGCCTTCTCAGGGTGAATAATGTAACATTTGGTCGGTTTCCACGGCACCGCCTCTAATCAAATAAACTAATCATATGCCACATTTGTGTACGACGTACGTACAGCGGTACTCATGTTAGCACATCGCACTGAGTGTCAGAAACACGCTTGCCACCGTGTGGCTGATTAGGCCGTGTGGTTAATGTTGTGTGAGAGAATTTAACTTTCTGGCATCTCAAGATGATTCACATTATAGTTACCCGCACCGTCAAGTTCCATGGATGTTTCTCTGAGCATCGATTTCCTTGTTTATTTTCGCAACAATTACAAATCAGCAATAAGTTAACAAAGATTTTAACATGTGAGCCAGTTTTTCAGCGCCAACTCCCCAAAACACTTTCAAATTCATCGTTGAAATTTATAGGGAAAATCTTTCAGAGATCAAGGGTCGGGGAAAGGTACATAGACACAGACAATAAACTGGTAAACTATTCTTACATCTGAACTGGCGAATAGACGAGGAAATGTAGTAACTAATGCGATGAGACCATTTTCGTGAAAACATATTGTAGACTGCAGCAGTTCCCAAACTATGGGTCGCGACCCACTGGTGGGTCGCAAAAAAAATTTTGGTGGGTCGTGAAAAGATGTAAAAAGCTTTGATTAATTATACTGGTTATTAGGATCAGCGGCGACTCAAATACGTAAATTTTCAAAAAACTGAAGAAATTAAATTCTAATCTATAAAAGTTTCCTTTTTAGGATCTTCTCAAAGGAACAAAAATTTGCACAAAGAATGACCATGTGGCTTTTTTACGCATAGCAGTTTTGTGCACTTCTTGCCGTGTTTCCCCGAAATTTAGACAGGATTTAGATTTATTTTCTTTTGAAGAATAACACTATGGTTCTATTTTTTGGAAAAAGTCTTTTGGGTTCATTTATCAAAAATAAAATTACATTGTAGAAAATCACGATATTTTTTAAAAGTTATTATATAAAAACCGACATCCATTGTTTTTATTTGTATTTTCTATACAAAAATCAAGTGACAAATATCATAATTGTGATTGTGACATCACACAATGTTGAATAGTGGAGTGATCTTCACCTTACCTCAGGTCATTGAACCTTTCCTCTCCCACACATTTTAAATTTATTTTAAAGTAGGGTTTAATTGAAATCATTTTTAAAATTCAAATTAGGTCTTATTTACGAGGAAACACGGTACTTTTGCGATGATTAGCCATTGCTGTGATCTGTGTTATGTCATAAAAAGATAAGTGGGTCGCCCTAAGCTGTGGTAATAAATAGTGAGTCGCAACTCTAAAAAGTTTGGGAACCACTGTTGTAGATAATTATTGACGTTTCCTTTTTGCCTACTCTAACCATTCGTCATAACCACCAGCGCACCATTGAACGTTATTTACTCATGAGAAATATACCTCAAATCAGTCGGTTCCAAAAGTTCAACAACTCATATTCCTAAGTGCATTGAGAAGTCGAATGTGTATTGAGCAAATAAATTCTCCGATAATGAAACATAATCACATTGGTTCAAGTTAAAAGGTTACTTTGTATTTACATATGCTTCAGTACGGACTATATGTAAGAATACTAAATATACCACCATGAATCAAATAGGGTCCATGGATAGCGAACGGGTGAAGTTGGAATCGAAGAACACACAAACGCAAACTTTAAATGAACGTATTTGAATTATGTATTCCAATGTATGTATTTCAAATATTAACGCGGAAGTGTCTATATTTCAGGGAAAATAGTTTTTCGCTTGCATAAAAAAAATTAATGAGACACATTTTTTTTTGTGTAACTAAAATAGGCGACGGAAGAAGAGTTGAGAATCATTGGCTTGGTCGTTTGCGTGAGGCAATGGTCCCTAACCTTATATGGCTCGTAGCTCCCGTCCGGGGGCGTTTAGCACTCATTTTTCCCTGTTTGTCATAACAGTAGCATTTATAGCGTTATATTGTTTGGTAGATTTCAAATCCTATTATGTTCAAACAATTTATGCTCAAGATAGTGAAAACACCCTGTGAAATAACGTAGCTCCCGTCCGGGGGCGTTTAGCACTCATTTTTCCCTGTTTGTCATAACAGTAGCATTTATAGCGTTATATTGTTTGGTAGATTTCAAATCCTATTATGTTCAAACAATTTATGCTCAAGATAGTGAAAACACCCTGTGAAATAACCTTATCAAGGAATGTGAACGGGGAGTTTTTGTGTAAAAGAAAAATCTGTTTTGTGCCTAGCATTGTGTCCCCCTCCAACTGCTCTGTGGCCCCTTTGGGTAGCCACGACCCCCCGGGTTGCGAACCGCTAGCGTGAGATTTTGTTGCACAAGTGAAATAAATCAGAAAAAAGTCTCAGTTTATTTGAAATCGAAAATAATTTAAAAGTTTAATTATCAAATGACTACTAGCCATGTATGGTCATTCCCGCGTCGGCGAAAGGTAAACAATACTTAATAATACTGAATATAACATGTATTCAAATATGGAGTCAACATGGTATACGGCGCCTAAAAGTTTTCACGATTCCTCGTAAGACATTATGTTTGCTCACGAGGTTTATTGGGATCACAAATAACACACTGTGTATTGATTTATAATTTGTAAACTCCATGTGCGGATTAGGTGAAACTGAAATATCAAATTCTGTAGTTGAATCGGCGTATCTTATGTACAAAGTTCCAACCAAATAAAACATCCCCACTAATGCTCAAAATTAGTAGATTTCGCTGGAAATTCAAAGCATTCTTAACCCTAATTGAACAATTACTGATTTGTTGTTTAAAAGCGTGGACTTTGTGCAGAAGATCCCGGTCGACTTTCTTCAGATTTGGCAGCGAAATTAGTGTGGTCGGGGTGCATGGATACACCGTTTAGGTTCGGAAATACTTTGCGGCCCCACCTCTGATGTCTCTATAACTGACATGAGCAAACTATGGCTATGGCTATACATCACTCAGATAGATTACTCACTACAGTCTCACTACAGAAAAAAGTCATACGTCAGAATTGCGTTGAAAAAATATGACTTCAATGAAAAAAAAATTGGGGAATTCACCTCGACCATTGGCGAAAAGAAGAAAACAAGATGGCGGCGATTCTAAATTTAGCTCTGAACCAATTCGCATAATTTACTATTCGATTCGAATATTCGATTCGAAATGTCCAGCCCTAGCCACAACCAAATTTAAATTTTACGCGAGACTCATTGTTTCCACTTTTGTTTTTCTAAAAGTGTGAATATTGTTCTCAAAATGTAACTCTTTTGGTCATACTCACGTGGCCCAAAATTTATGACCCCTGGTCCAAAAAACGTGCCCACCCTGCTCTACTCACAGTGACTTTTCTGTTTGTTTATACACGGTAAAGAGAAATATATGACCATCAATCTGTAATCTACTTACACATTTGCGCCAGTGAAGTCTTCAGTCCAGTTATTGTAATCCAAAGTATCCATGAGAATAAATCCATTTCACCGAGTACTTTGTATTTCTCCAACATTCAGTGCTAGAGTTTAAGGCTAAAGTTAAGATACAGTGAAAAACACAGTGAATATTTATTGTGCGTAAGTTTCCTTGTGGGCTGCATTTGACCCGCAGGTTGCACACCTCTGACCTATGTGATGCGGCCCGACTCGCAAAACCTTTTTAACCGATCTAACCAATAAGATCACATGATATGTACACTTGAACGACAGCGACATCCGCTACACAGCAACCAAACATCGATTACAATCAAAACAACAAACTGAAGTATATTTGTGGTCAAAGTAGACAAAGCAATGAATATTTAACTCGAATAACATACTCCCTACGTTCGTGGAAAAATAGTTCACCGGGACAACTTTCTTATTGCGTTTGTCGTTAATGAATTAATTATATGCAAATATATGAAGCTTATGGTCACCCGTCCTGTTATGTCGAGTGTTCTGCAATGTGTGTCGACAATAGATGAACATTCATATTCATAAACTGACATGGCGTGTTGGACCAGGTCTTTCAAAACTTCTAAGCTTGCGACCGCTCCCAATATTTAAATATTTTCTGCGACCCCTGTTACGTCGGCGTTGTTGTGCAATCGCACCGCTTTTCTGATCCTATGTATTTTCTCGAGATCGTGAGATTTATGCTTTGCACTAATTTCAATAATTGGTCTTCAAATTAAGAGTAAAATAGATATACTACTTTATGTAAAATTGGTATACACTTTGCAACCCCTAAAGTTCTGTTCGTGACACCCAGCGGACTCGTGACCCCTAGTTTGGGTTAGACGACTAATGAGTCCCCTACGTAATGTGGCCCGTCTTGCAAAATCTATTTTACTGTTCTAATCTATAAGCTCACATGATATCTACAGCTGAACGATAGCGGTATCCGTTACACAGCAACCAAACATCGATTACAATCAAAACAACAAACCGAAGTATATTTGCGGTCAAATCAGACAAAGCAATAAATGTTTGACTCGAATAACATACTCCCTATGTTCTGATGTTCGTAGAAATATAGTTCACGAGGACAACTTTGTTATTGTGTTTTTTATCAAATTGTATGCAAATATGTAAAGCTTATGATAGCCCACCCTGTAATAAAAGCAGTTACGGTAATAAAAGCACCGGGGAAAACGGCAAAAGATTCAAGCAGCGACGCTCGTTTTAAACCATTCCTCGTTACCATTACATACACTCGTCAACTTTCTAGACTAACGCCGGAAAAGTTTTCGATTATTGCCTGAATATTTATCCGCCATCCCCGCGTCGCTACTAACGTTTGCCCGACCTCACCAAACAATAGAATTCCTTCTGTCTGGAATCTTAAACCATACATCATGAATACACTAAGTACTCAACCATTGGCTAAAATGATTTATGAATCTAAAACATTTTAAAACTTCTGATGGAGAATGTTTCGAGTGATGAACAAATCTGCCATCTATATACCAACCCAATATAACGCTCTACAGATAAGGTCATTCAAGTTACAATCGGGACCATATATCCATCCATATTCCTAGCCATTTCATTACTGCTTTATTGACTGCCATTTCTCCGCTTTTATACGATGAATCGTTTCCATTTAAAGACTTATCCCGATCAGCGTCATTTTTTTCTCTCAAAATGGATATTTTGCCATTGACTAACACTATAAAAAATCCACAGAAAAACTTCTAATAATTCCAGTGTTAATACACAAGCTTTATAATCGACGATTTAAGAACTATATGAGAACAGACCGTTACTTTTATACCACAATTTAAAGTCAATAACACGTAAATATAGGTGATTTTACTTTTATTTCTTACAGTACCCTTTTGCGCTATTTTTGTCCAAAGCCTATAATTCATCCGTCTGGTAGTCTCAAGGACAAATTAGGAACGGGCAATCAATCTAGTCTCAGGAATTTACGCGCCACATATGCGCATTTCTCTTGTGCGGTTTCGCTACACAGGGGTTACCAAACTTTTTGACCGCGGGCCACGTATGACTCAAACTGTGTTGAATACGGGCCGGACAAATTTTTTTGTCAATGCAATGCAATAAATTCACAAAAGTTGGGAAATCCATTCAATTTATTCAACAATATAAATTCTACATTTCTGGAGACTTGAATATTGAATTCAATGTCGCAGAATATAGATCAAGAACATCATAGCAAAACAGATATAGAAAATTTATCCATTTTTTCGTGTTATTGCGGGCCAAATGAAAGGTCGCCAAGGGCCGGATCAGGCCAGCGAGTGTAGTTTGGTGAACCCTGCTCTATTATATGAAGGGTAGGGAGCGGTGCTGGGATTCGAAATGTGTGAAACTAGTTCTCTTTTGTATCGAGAACATTCTCTACTTTTAGGAAATGTACGTAAGTTATATTAACATGACACGCTTTACATAAATCTAACGATACATGAAAACAACAATAACAAGTTTCGGGAATGCTCGAGAGACCTTTTTAAGTTACCCCCCCCCCCTCCTCCCCAACCACCCCAGTAACTGAGTTATAAACCTGAAACAATTGTGGGTTGTGGGGATTGACAAGAGGGACCTCTACACAGGTTATCCCTGGGCCTGAACTATATATTTTTATTAGAGAGTGTTTCACATATTAGTCAGGGAGGGGGTAACTTGAAAAGGTTCGACGTACTCCAGTTACCGTTTTTAGAAACTCGAATTTCCTCCACACTCTCGATTATTTTCAATTTCAATTTTATCAACTAACCTCACGCGTGACTTAGATTCGGTGATTTAGTGCAGTGGCTCACAAGCTTTTTCCGAGAGACCCAAATTTTTCTTAAAAAATTAGGTTTGTAAAAATTCGCGACCCAAGAGTAATTGAATGACTAATATAAAACAATCATTTTTGTACAACATGTATTTACCTATAGGAATTAACTCAAAGTAAGAAAGCTGCATTTTATCCTGTAATAATTTCCACATGAGATAAAACTAGTAACTCAGGTATACTTATACAACATTTAGGTTTTGTTGAAAAACCAAGGAACCCGGAAAAATTTTCGGGCGACTCAAAGGTTGCGAAACACTGATTTAGTGAACTCGAGACTTGATGATCCGCGGTTACGGATGGCTTTCAGATGTACCAAACAATAGTTTTTCATTTACAGAGCGAACATATTATTACCCTATCAATGCGCTACCGAAAGCGATGCGGACAGGATTAGAAACGAGCTAGTGTTGGCATTGGGTTTAGGGCGGGGTAATACCGTCATTATTACTCATAGCATTTAGGGAGTCAATTTCAGAATTTGTGTGTTTTTGGTAAGGTACAAAAGTGTAATAAACCCTAATCATATATTACCTAATCTTTTTGGTTTTATGGGTGACACCAATGACGGCATTGATGTAACGTCACAAAAGAAGGGACGGGAAAAAACATTTTCTTTGGGTAAAGATTAAGGTGCCGAAACAGACAGTAGGAATGTCTAAGAATAGTTTTAATTTTCTTTTAGCATAAATTGCCTTATATAACGTAAAAAACGAAACGTCGAACGAGGAAAGGCTATTTCAAGAAAAGGAATTAGAGGACTAACAAAATCTTAGTGATTTCAAGCGGTTATTATCCGGCCTACCTCAGAGACATGAAAAATTTGATCCTCCCAATCTATGTATATAGGTTAACACAGTGGATCCCAATCTTTTTTGGTAAAATCCCCTATCAATTTTTTGCTATGGTTACGATTCGGACGATTTTTCTGGGGGCTCCCGAAGTATGCGAACCAAGATGGCGGACATCGGAATGTAATATGTGTACTAGGTTAGAGTTAGGCCATAATTTTAGGTATAAATACTACGGGAGACTCTTGGCTAGTCTTCGAACTGATAATAGGACTAAAAGAAGGAAAATTGGAAAAAAATTATCGCCTAATCCTAACCTGTTACCCATGTTACGTTCCGATGTCCGCCATCTTGGTTCGCATACTTCGGGAGCACCTTTTGCTGTATTATACCGAGCATTTTTTCGTATCTCGGAACGCTTTTCAGACCTCAAGAGTCAAGACGGTTGAAAACCCACATATCGCGGACACGCTAGCTGTTTCGGTCAAACTTGGCAATTAGAAATTCCGGAACCTCGATATCGGTATCGCCAGTGCCAGTTCAGCCCACATAGTAAATATTAGGAATTGGATATGTAACCAAAAACTAATTCAAAAATGATTAAATACAAAGTTTTTTGTCCAAAGTATGGAAGTATCGAATGTGTGTGTCGGCCATGTGTGAATCGCGTATTAAGAAAGTGTTATCAATAATGAAACGCTATACGTCTAGATATTATCAGTTATACAAATTCATATTATTTGAGTTGGAATTATATTCATGAAATATCAAATAAAATCGGAAAAATGTAAATATTAAAGAAACTCTCTCAATGGGCTTAGTTACACTTTAATGTGGTAATAGTTATAATTGAGTTCTTTTGTCAAGGTTGTACTTTTTTATAAAGTAAAGAGCTCTGTTGTCCAAATAAGCTATTTGCTAGGGCCGGGAATTTAAGGGAAAACACTTTAACCGTTAACCGGGCGAAATTAACCGCTAAACCGTAGTGTGACGTTTGGCGTAATAAGTCACAATTTTAAGTTTCTTACGTCCCGAATGTTCCAGAGTATTTATGCGTTATCTTATCCTGGTATCGCTCGAAATTGTTCACGTATCGAGATAGTTCCATGGTTGCTCTACTACAGGGGTGGCCAACCAGTCAGAGACCAAGAGCCACATTTCGTACTTAATTACAGCGAAGATTCGCATTATAAACAATAACACACACAATTACCAGATTTACCTTTACATTCTGAAAGAACGAAACGTTTTATCTGCACTTCAATTACCTGAAATCGGTTAACTATTCCTAGCGCTACTACTTCCACTTTTGTCAAGGCCATTTGCTATTGCAAAGACTTTAGGATTTTGTAACCTGTAGCGTGCCCTCTCTCACTAAATGAAGATAGATTGACACTCGCATAATCTGACAATTTCCTTCTCTAAACTTATCGAACGATCTGAGAATCAACCCC